TTTAGTAATCTCACATACGGGGAGATGTTTTTTGTATATTATTACTTTTTGTACATTTTCAGCACAATTGTATTAATGCTGCTGATCGTTTTGGTCACTCCGAATGTGATCTGAATTGTTAACACGGTTTCATCTCTCTTCCCAGGTCAGCTGCAGCCACATCAGCAAAATGGCTACCAGCCCCAGCCTCAGATACCCCAGGGCTACCAGCCCCCCCGAGGCTACCTCCCCCAGCAGCACCCTCACATGATGCCGGGCTCCATGCCAAGGCCCCCTCAAACTGTTCCTCCACACATACCCCCCACTTCTCAGCCTGCACCTCCTCCATCCCAGCCCTACATGCCCCACCAACACCAACACCAACACCAACAGATGCCCCCTGGACTTCCTCACCCACACATGATGCCCCAACAGCAGCAGATCCCTCCCCACCCACAAATGCACATTCCAGGCGGTCCCAGAGTACAAATGCCCCCCACAAGTCAGCAAATGCCCCCGGTCTCCCAGCACTACATGCCCCCCGGTAACCAGCCCCTTCACCCCAACATGCGGCCACAGATGCCTCCAGCCTCACAGCCTCATATGGTCCACATGCCGAGGGGCCCCATGCCACAGATGCCCCCTCACCACCACCCCGGACAGCCTCCAATCACAAACATGCCCCAGCAGCCCATGCAGATGCCCGGTCAGGCTCCGCCCCCTCATCCTGGGGGGATGTGCTACCCTGGAGGGTCTCCGATGATGCCTCAGCAGCCTCTGGCCCCCCAGCCTGCCGCCCCCCAACAACCTCAGGCTCCCATGATTCACCCGCAGCCCTCTCCTATGTACCCCCCAGCTGCAGGACCTAATGTACCCCCGAGTGCCCCCCAGCAACCGCCTGCCATGGGTCCACACGTGCCCCCCGCCCAACACATGATGCAGCCCACTCCTGGAGGCCCTTCAGTGCCTCAGCCTCCCAACAATGTCCCTCCTTCCCCATCTCCTTCCCCCTCCCCATCTCCCTCCCCAGGTCCTACCTCTCTGAGCCTGAACCCCCAGCAGAGACCCACACCAGCCCCCACCCCCGGAGCTCCTCCCACCCTCCCCTCCCCCTCCGCTGCCTCTCCCTCCACCTCTCTGTTTCAGCGCCAGAACTCAAGCACGGACGACCTTCTCTCTTCGAGCCCCGAGAGCATTCCCGGAGGCACCAAGCCCCCCACCAACGTGCTGCAGCCCACCAAGGCTGACTCCCCAGGACGGGAAGAAGAGCTCCCAGGCGGTGCTCCTGATCCAGGGAGACCCTTACCAAGCTCCAGAGCGCGTCGCCCGTCTTCACGGTGAACTGGAACGTTACCGGGCCAAGGTGGACTCCCTGGAGCAGCCCTCAGAGAGCGAGGGGGGGCTGTCGGTGCTGGACGCCCGCTGGAGAGAGCTCCAGGACCAGCAGGAGAAGGACGCGCGCCAACGCTCCATCGCGATCGCCCGCTGCTACACCATGAAGAACCGTCACCAGGATGTGATGCCCTACGACCTGAACCGCGTATTGCTGCAGTCGGGGAAGGACGACTACATCAACGCCAGCCTGGTGGAGGACCTGTCTCCGTACTGCCCGCGCCTCATCGCCACGCAGGCCCCGCTCAGCGGCACCGCGGCAGACTTCTGGCTGATGGTGTACGAGCAGAAGGTGTCCCTGATCGTCATGCTGGTCTCAGAGCAGGAGCTGGAAAAGGTACCGGGTTCATTTAGTCTGCGCTGTGATTAATATGGGGTGCAGTTGCAAAAAGAAAATGTCAATAGGGTTGCAACATTTGGAAAGAAATGACTTCTGTGTTTATATCAAAGTTTATTTTTAGAAGCAGCTCCCGTAGATAAACCCTTTTTAAATTCAATTTTCTCACATCTTTCCCGCTGTTGCTTTCCGTTTTGAACACTTGCTTCTCTCTCTCTCTAACCAGGGGAAGGTTGTGCGATACTTCCCGACGGAGCGGGGCCAGCAGGTCGCTCAGGGGCCGATCACGCTCAGCCTCACCACGCAGAAGATGGCTCCGACTCACGTGGAGCGCATGATCAGCCTGCAGTACCGCGACCAGAGCCTGAAGCGCACCGTCGTCCATCTGCAGTTCACCTCCTGGCCCGAGCTGTGAGTGACGCCTTTCATTAACTAGTGTCTGTGGAAAAAGCACGTGGCTCTGATCCATCGTAGAAATAGATGTATGGTATTTATCTCCAACCTTATTTTGTTTGGTTGGTTTATTATATTTATATATTTCTCATCAGGGGTCTTCCTGAAAGCAAGAGCAACCTGCTGCGCTTCATCCAGGACGTTCACGGACACTACCTGCACCAGAGGCCCCTACACACACCCGTTGTGGTGCACTGCAGGTGAGAAGAGTGTTATGACATATTATTAACTTAATATACACTTAACTTCAGAGTAGCTGGATATTCTAGAAACTGCTTTGGCTGGTGACTTGCCATCATTTACAGCGACAATGAAAACAAAACACAGGTACTGTAATTAGCTTTTTGATGCTGTTAGTGATATAAATAATATACACTTAAATATTGTACAGCATTAATACATTTTTATTTAACTTTTAGATTGCCTCATTCAAATTATTGATCTAAATTATGCAGATTTTTCTGACGACAAAGGTTAAAAAAAACTCAACAGATTTTAATACAATCTGTTAACCCTTAGATGCATAAGTGGGTCTTTTTTGACCCGGTGAGGTGGTTTTCTTGAAGCATCTTTGTAATTACATTTTTTTATCATTTCATATTCCAGCTATTCCTCAAAAAACATGTTTTGGATATCATGCCATTCACATTTTAAATTTACATTTTATACATTTTAAGAAATTGTAGTTTTTGTATTTCTACCCCAAGCTTCCATAAGTGGGTCAAACATTTTCTATGGGATCCTCTGGGAACCTTTGATTCTTATCACCTGTTGCTGTCAGGAATACATTCACTGTAGACCACACAGACTACATCACAAGTGACACCTCTCAGGAAGATTATTTTACACAGCAAGATCTGATACCTGTCTGTATAATAATAATAATAATAATAATAATAATAATATATTATATTTGTATAGGGCTTTTCAAGGACTCAAAATCGCTTTACAATATAAGGGAAGGTTGGGGTGGGGGTGGGGGGTATAGGACTATCAAACTTGATCAACCGACATGGATTGATGGGGGGTGGGCTATGAGTAGACAAGAGGAGAAGAGATGAGTTTTGAAAAGGGACTGGAATACTGTGAGGGTCTCAGAATCGCGGAGATCTTTGCATCAATATGTTCAAAACGTTTTTTTCAAAATGTAAAAAAAAATTCTAAAATTATAAATAGTGAAAAATTAAATATAAAATATTTCTAGTGTGAACCAAAATATAATACTAAATATTATACAAGTGATTTTTCTGAACCAAAATGACACAAATGGCATAAAAACACATATTATTCTAATACGGGTCCTTTTTGACCCACTTATGGACGAGTGTAGGGTCCAGTCACTCGGGCATCTAAGGGTTAAGAAAACAGACCCTAGAGGGGATATTTGGTTGTTGCAGAAGCACTAGGTAAGAGCAAAGGTAAAGATGTATAGAGAAATACAAAATAAACAATAAGAGGTATATGACATTGAAATAAGAAACTATACAAGAGCAATTTAGGAGGAAAGTACCAGTGTTATTAGTAGCAAGCAATGTCAACAAGATATGGCGTATATCATAAATAGCATCTTGAAACAATATTAAAAAAGTGTGATTTTCTTTTACACGTTCAATTTACACTACTCAGTGGATTTAGTTGAGCTCCTCAGTGGTGTCAGTAGAAGTGTTTCTTATCAGCCTGTTGTCTGTGTCTCTTAGCTCGGGGGTGGGACGCACCGGCGCCTTCTGCCTGCTGTACGCCGCTCTGCAGGAGCTGGAGGCAGGGCCACGGGATCCCTGACCTGCCTGTGCTGGTGAAGAAGATGAGGCAGCAGAGGAAGAACATGCTGCAGGAGAAGGTCAGACACACACACACCTTTCTGATGGATATGGTGCATTGTAATAATAATAATAATAATAATAATATCAGGGTGTCCGCGGGGTCTTAAAAAGTATTAAAAGTTGATAAATCAATTTAGCGAAAATGAAGGCTATTAAAAAGTATTAAACGGCATTTTCCAAGGTATTACATTTTGTAGCTTGTTTTCAATAAGTATATAAATTGTCCAAAGAGGTTGTATTCTACAGTTTGCCTGAATGTAATCATTGCGTAGGTGTGCAGTGTGATTCTGTGGAGTTTATTTATGGCATCCCGTTGGATTTGACGTCATCTGAACAGGACATCGCACGCTCACTGCTTGATAGCGCGCGAAGGTCCGTTTACGCCGGTTGTTAAACAACATCGTTATGGGGAAATGCAAGTCTGCGTCCAAATGGTTGGAAGATAAGGAGGAAGGACAATCAATACTGTATATAGTAAATGTGAGGTCAAGTGTGTCGCCGAGGTAACCGGTTAGAACTCAAAGTGGCGATGAGGTCTTAAAATGTATGGAAAGGGTCTTAAAAAAGGTCTTAAAAGGTATTACATTTGACTTCAGGATTCCTGCATATACCCTGATAAAGCAAAACACACAAAATGACACATCCCAAGTTAAAAACAAACAACAAGAAATTCCCCTCAGATGATTGGTTAAGAACTTTTAAAGGCACATGCAGCAAAATATCACATTTTATCAGGTTAATAGACACAAGGAGGTAAAATGTATGATAATTAAAATAAAATAAAGAATGGTTTCTCTCTGACCGATAAGACACAAGACAACTGAGTCGATGCAACAATATAAAATATAACATTTGTATTCTTATTGTAACAGATAGATCCTGTACAGTTCATGTTTAAAACAGCAGGACACACATAGACGCTAATCACAAAGTACTTGAAGGAGTGGATTTTCAGATATGACATTTGATTTGAATACTCTCGTTGCTCCTGTCTGTAGCTCCACCTGAAGTTCTGCTACGAGGCGGTGCTGAAGCACGTGGAGCAGGTCCTGCAGAGACACGGCATCACCACCCCCACCTCCACCTCCACCTCCACCTGCAGCCGGACCAAGGTCTGATTCATGAACTCACTTGTGAATATAGTACTATGAATGTAATCGATCAATGAAAAGGCCTGTTCTGAAAGTTTCCTCTGATTTGAATATAATAATAATCAATTTTATTTACAAGCGCACTTTTCATTTGAGTAAACAAAACTGCTACAGAGTAAAATGGTCGATACAAAACAACAAAAATACATATATAATAAAGTAAACAGATTAAAAACAGTGACGTTTAGGCTGGTTATGTTATATGATAAACTCTAGGTACCATAAACCTGGTACTTAAAACTATATTTAAAAATTGAATAACTACTACTCGCACTACATTGCTTATATATAGACATGCATATTTTAACAACTGGTCAAATAAACCCCAACTTGACGAACGAAAAATGTTTAAATTCATTTATTTGGTAATCTGGGTCATCAGACTCTTCAGTAATTGTTTAACACACCTTTGAAGTCAGTAGAGTAGGTATTCCTTTCCTCCTCTTATTCTCCCCCCAAACTGTTTATTAATGATCTTAGTTCTAATGTTGTATTATTTCACATTTTGCTCACATGGTTGTTCCAAAGGAAATCTACGAGTTGTGGCCAGTCGAGGTACTGCTTCCATTTTCAGTAGAGCTGTCAGAGCAGCGTAGTTATTAGTGATACATGAAGGTACTTGGTATTAGCTAGCTAGAGGCCCTTTATTTAGGGATGCTCAATATAAATCAGGCTGATTTATTATCCCTAAAAACCTACTTGTTCTCCCGTGCTTTTGCAGACCACGTTTAAGACGTATCAGTCTGTGTTTTCTAAATTGGGCTTTTCTATTTTGTTGGGTTTTAAAATGTTTTCACATCGTGTATGAGGGTTTTCAGTCTGTGGCTATAAGTATGGTTTTTATTGTGCTTTTACATTAGTTTATTTTTGTCCTATCGGTTTTGTCTAAATGTATTTATGGTGGTTTTTTATATATTTATTGATGTACAGCACTTGGTCAACTCTGTTGTTTTTAAATGTGCTATATACATAAAGTTGGATTGGATCCCGATACAATTCATCTGAATGTTTTCTCTTTTCCCCCTGCTCTCTGCAGCCTTACTCCAGACAGGAGTCCCAGCAGGACATTGTCCTCGGGGGGGACATGCCCATCAGCTCCATCCAGGCCACCATCGCCAAACTCAGCATCCGCCCCCCCAGCGCCACAGACCCTTCATTGGAGGCCCCCTGCGGTGTGGAGGAGCACGTTGGCCCCGCTTTCGACTCTCTGAGTGACGTCCAGGCGGTCCAGGACCCCCCCACAGAGCCCCCCTCCTCTTTGAGTCCCTCCTCTCACCTCGCCCACTCACTCTCCACCCCCTAACGGCCTTGACGCCCCCTCCTCACCACCTGCACTCCCACCTGCCTCCCCCAGCGTCAGCCCTCCTCCTCCTCCAGCCTCCTCTGCTCCGGCTCCTTCCTCCCTGGAGCTCCTGGCCGCCATGACCCCCGAGGCCTTCTCCATGGAGGGCGGGGGCAAAGGGAAGCAGCGGGTGACCAAGCAGAGCTTCCTGCAGCCGGCAGAGGGTCAGGGGATCCACGGGACCCCCCGGGGGGAGGAAGGAGACGACCCCCTCGGCAGCCTGGACCCCTTGTGGAGCCTCGGGAAGCCCTGAGAGCAGAGCCTGTTTCCACTTTACCACCAGGCCTGTAGCGCTTTGTAATCCTGCTTTTTAAGTAGAAAAACACACTGAATCCTGGGACATTTTAGCAGAGTTGACCAAGACGTGCCTGGTGGGGGCGGACGGCGGTGGTTCAGTCGTGAAGTTTGAAACACAAACACACTTTCCTTTCATCACCGGTGGCTTCTGGGAGCAGATCACTATGCACTCGTCTGTTTTCCTTCTGTCGCTCTTTGCTGCTTTTTATTTGTCTGTATGGATGTTGTGCACTCCCACATCTGGGCCCAAAAAGAAGAGGAAAATCCCAGCATGCACTCCACTTTCGTTTGGTGTTTGGCTGCGATCGTTTAACTGGAATAATGGATGCGTGGAGGTCATAGGAGCTGGGTGGAGCGATCTTGAAAACACCTTGAACTCAATCAGTGGTCACACAAATCAGCACGTCTTAACAAGTTTATTCGTTCTTTTCTTCCTCTGTAACACTGTAAATATCTTAAATAAAGTTAGACTATTCCCAATGTCCTTCTGGTAAATTTCACAAACTAATCATTCATTATTGTAAAGGAAAATGAAATAAATCCAGTAGACAAGACAGCTGTTGTGGTATCAAAGCCTCTTTATTTGAAAATTAGTACAAATTCTTGCACTTTTTTTTGTGTTACAAAATTGTAAATAAGTTACCTTCACTTCTACTTGTAGCCAGCTTGATGAAGGGAGGAGCAGAGCTGGGGGTTAGCTGTTAGATTCTGTTTTTCGAGCAACAAAACGTTAAATATCTGCTTTTGTTATGAGGATGCTGCCACAGGAAGTGTTCATTTTCTGCTTTAACAACTTAAATCTTCAGAAGGTGCATCCACAGACTTCTGATATGTTGACAGGATGAAAAGGTATGTTTAAAGCAGCAAAAACAAGCATCATTTACTACAATAAATTGGACATTGATGGACAAATTCCTGTTGGATATGGGTTGTTAAAAGTCCATATGTGATGAACAGAGACATTCAGGAGGCTAAGACTCAGGACACATCCAAATCAACCCTTCCTCCATTCCATAAGGAAATAGTTAACATTTTGGGAAATACTTTTATTCACTCTATGGCGGAATTATAATAGAAGATTGATGCCATTTTATATAAGATTTAAAGCAAGCATTAGGTGATCTGTACACCAGAAATGAGGCAAAATGCTAATAAAATCAGGCACTCATGAGATGGCTATTTAACGTTAGATCTTTTTTTGTTTGTTTTACAATTATCAGAGCAGTGGGATTATCAGTTTATGTAATATCCAACATATTAGCACTAACTAACAAGAAATATATTGTTAAATATCGATAAAGTATAAAAAACATTGTCATGCTGAAGTATATCAATATCTGTTTTCCGTTCGTCCCTTGTGGTAAAGTTAGCTAACCGTTAGCTTGCTAAATTAACCGTTATGACTACTTTTTTATATTTGAGTCACGGACTGCCATGAATATTGCATGTAAACTTAATTGTATAAGTATATCGATAAAATGTAAAAATACTTTTATATTGCGATACTCAAGTAAGTAAAAAATCAGTTTTCCCCTGGTTATTGCTGTAAAGTAAGCTCACCGTTAGCTTGCTAAGTAAACCGTTAGCTTAATATTAAAAAGGGTGGTGCTTAAAAGCTGCTTATTTAACTCCTCCAGAAAGCGAATTATCATCAAGCATATTTTCCAAATCACTTCCTTAAATCAAATTGACAATGCAAGAAAACAAAAATAAATCGAAAAACAACATTTCTAAAGCTTTCTCGACTAAAACATAAGCTAATAAATTAACAGGCAACAGGTGTGGTTTCTCAGGGTTGCAGTTCCAGGTAAATAACATGTTCACTCAGCTGCTTGTGATGAACAGATGACATCCCAGTGAAACCTCACCTGTAACATGTGTGCGTGTTTAGTGTTTACTCGTGCTGCAGGTGTGTGTGTGCTGATGAGCGCTAAAGTGCGTACTGTGTAACGTGTGCGTCAACAGAGGGTCAGCAGTGGATTGAATTAGTGTTGCGATGAGATACTGTGAAGGATAAGGATTTCTAGGTGCTGTTTATGAAGGTTTGTCTCTTTCTGGGACTTCGTTCTTTAGAAACAGATAACAGTAGATGATTTGGAGACAATACATTCTGTGACCTGATGTACATTCCTTCAGCAGGTATCCAAACTGAACAGGGTTTAAAGTCCTGCAATTGACTGCTACCATGTTACTTTATCAAATAAATAAACACGTTTAGTTTGATTCTTTTCATCTATTTTTAACAAGTCATACATCTGATTGTGGGTCAGCAATTTAAGTGGATGTTCTGCAAAAACTTTAAAAGTTTGATGAGCAAATTACACTACATTATTGTGCTGTGAATTTCTAATTAAAAAGGTGCTGTTGGCTTTTTAATCACCCTGCTGACATTACAGAACAAATATATTTGTATATTATTTGGATTTCCCCACTGAAATTTAAAAACAACCAATGCATTGTTTTTGGAAGATTTGAAGCTAAAATAATACAATCAGTTCAAAGTGTGTGCAACATTTCAATCAAACAGATCTTTATCATACACAAAACATTTTCAAAGCATCACATGATACACACATATCTCAAAGCAATACAAAATGTCCTCTGAATACAAGTCTCCTTACTTTGAAGCAGAATGGCGTTATTATGTATGTCATGTGAAGCTTGTGGAAATGTGTTATGTCTCATGAATGTCTGCGTTTGCACAGTAACAGTAAATAAAAAAAAAATATTGTAGGAGCACAGAAATAGTGTTCAAATTCTGCTTTTACAGACTTATTTTGGTTGTGCGTACCTTGCAAAGTAATGTTTTAAGTGTCAAAGGAATGTTTTAATGTAAATAAATCAGATTTTAAGAGAATTAATTAATTATCAGTAAGTTCTAATCAAATCTATGACTTGATTTCTCTCTAAAAAGGCAGTGTAAAAATCAAAAAATTGTAAAAATATTAACCACACTGCTGCTAACTGATAATGAAAGCATCCGTGTAAATATTGTTACGTATTATTAGCTTATAGGGGCATTAAATAGCCACGTTTATAAAAAGAGACCGCAGGTGCTGCTGGATTATAATAACGGATATCTGTTCACATTTTCACTGACAAGAGGTTTTAGGGTTTTGTCGAGGGCAAAATTAAAATCCAGGAACAAAGAGATTTTACAGTAAACAGTGATTTAAAAAAATCTCTAAAAGGGCACAATTTATAAAAAATACGACAGCCTGTGCAGAAAAGAGTCAGTATTCTCATCCAAAATTCAAGCAGATTGGAAAATGGAGGTAGCCTGATGAAGGTTTAGCACGCAGGGCCCCCCACCTCAGCATCAGTAACCCAGGATCAGAGGCCCCCAGCCCCCAAAACAAAAAAAACTTCAGTGTTTCCAGTTCAATATTACAAATAACCATTTTATAACCAATGTCCCAACCCCGCCCAACACATCGTCACCATCTTACATTTACGTCATTATCTCCACATTGTTATATTGTTGTTTTACAACCGGGATTAGCCATTCATAAACAAACCGTTATTCAAAACTGTATCGCTAATAAATAATAGATTTATACATATAAAAACAGCCCCCTAATGGAGGTTTACTTTATACAGTAATCATCAGTTCTCCCTCACTCACACAGTCGCACACATGACCATTTGAATGTTTGTTCTCAGCAGTGTTTTGCCATTAAAAGGGCCTTAATTCATTTTCACACACACCTTTCCACACACACCTTTCCACACACACACACACACACACACACACACACACACACACACACACACACACACACACACACACACACACACACACACACACACACACACACACACACACACACACACACACACACCACACACACACACACACACACCACACACACACACACACACACACACACACACACACACACACACACACACACACACACACACACACACACACACACACACACACACACACACAAAACTGCGCAGCTCCTCCTGACAGGCCGTAGACCTGCACAGCTGCAAAAAGAGGCAGCAGGAATATTAAAAAATAAGGAGACAGTTGTATCTTCCTCTCTGGGCGGGTGAGGTCTCAGTACAGCCTCACCCGTATAAGCAGCATAGAGGGCAGAGCCACAAAATAAACACACGCATTAAAAAAACAAACGAAAAAAGCACAAACTGGTGACCGGTGGATCCTCTTTAAAACATCCAGCTTTTCTTAAAATTGACCCTCGTTAAAAATGTTCAGGATCGAGAGTCTGTCACGCTCCTTCCTCTGATAAAATGCAGCAGGTCGCACAATCAGTCCGTTTGTTTTTCTACATCCGGGCTTGTACTACAATAAAATAAAAATAAAAAGAGCCTTTTATGCAACTGTTCGACAAACCGTGGCTCTTTGGGAGTCAGAAACAAGAAAAGAGCAAAACAAGTTTTGAGTTTGTGTTTGTTTTCCCCGTCCCTCCTCAGTCGAGTTTCTCCAGCACCGAGGGCACGTACACCAGGCTGAGCTCGCTGCCGAAGTCACAGATGATGGCGGCGTTGTCGAGCACCAGCAGCTGCCGGACGCCCTGCCCATCGCTGCTCTGGCCCAAATACACCGTCTGCAGCAGGTCCCCAAAGTTCAGGTCCCAGAAGGAGACGCAGCCCTGCCCCCCCGTCACCAGCAGGGACTCAGAGATGACCCCCAGACTGGCCCCGCAGCCCGCCTCCTGGGGACCAGAGGAGAGAGGGAAAAGGGTCAATGTTGGGGTATTCTAGGGCACATTTTGGATAATTGTTCCTATTCATTTCACAAGCAAAGAACCTTAAAGGTCCCCTATTATGCTGTTTTTCATCAATATATTATAGGTCTCAGATATTATACAGAACATGTCTCTGAAGTGTTTGTCTGTTAGGGTATAGTAAGCCCCTCCGATAGGCAGAACGACCGCGTTACCTGCTGTATGGAGTACAGTTTGATCCCCGTGCTTCGGTCCCAGATACAGATGAGGTCGTCCAGTCCCGAGCTGATGACGCAGGAGGTGGTGCAGACCAACGAGGTGACGTCGCCACGGTGACCGTAAACATGGCTGACACGACTCCCCGTCAGGACGTCCCAGAGGCAGATGGCTCCGTCCTGCCCGCCGCTCGCCAGGACCATCGTCTGAGGAGGAAGAAACATGTGAGGTATATGACTTTCTATATGTGACTTACTATTCTACAACTTTTTTTAAACATACTTTTTATCGAAATACCGTACTGTGCATTTCTTTTGACACACTATAATATAACACTTGACATAATAAACTACCTTTATTTTTCAACATACTATACTGACTTTCTTTGGATGTATAATACTATAGCCAACATACAGTACTATGAACTATATGACATACTATTCTTTGACTTTCTTCGACATACTATTCTATGACTTTTCTGACAAAAACTGTCAAAGTAAAGTATACAGTTTCTCAAACCCAATCACGTCCACCTGTAACATTTGTCTGGAAAATGTTATATACAGTAGTGGAAGGACAGTGTAGAGATGTATGGTAATATAATATAAGTTAAAAGGTACGTACCTGGTCTATGTAGATGGCTGTGATCCCTCCAGAGTGACCCTGCAGGGTGAAGAGGCAGCACGAGTCCTCCAGGCGATAAATCTGATCAATAAACAACAGAATAATAATTAAAGAACAGTTATACTTATAAAGCTGTTGGTCTAGTGAGGTTTAACCTTTGATTATTGTGTATCAATATGTGAGGAACGTACTATATATTTCAGTTAACAATAAGAGATTTTAAATGTGAAGCTGCGATGTCATTTGATTTGTGGATCTGATGGTTATAATCGTCTCCATGTCAAAACATCACACAGATCCCTGGTACTTTAGCATGGTTCCAAAATGATGGGATAATCTCTCCAAAGGCTAAATATGCATGTGTTGAGGGGAACTCTTAAAGAGTTTGTTAGGGACTGGAGCTCAAGAGCATTATGCATACAAGAGGAATAGTAAACTATGGGGGTAAAAAGTACAACAGAAAACATTCTCACATTTGGTAAAGGCACAAGATTTAGTCTAAACTTGCGGCGTTCTTTGGTTTCAAAGTCTGTTTTTGTTCTGTGGTTTCTGGTATGTTTTGTCTTTAGTGTAGTTCTTTGTGTTGTGTCATCTTGTGACCGTTGAAAATAAACAGATTGAACATTTACCCTGACGGTGTGGTCCTGGCTGCCCGTCACCACCCGGCCGGCCGCCGCTCGCAGCACTGTGATTGGCTTCTGGTGAGCGCACTGTACGGAGCGCGTCAGCTGACAGCTGATCACATCCTCACTGCTGTAACATGGGGAGGGGGGCATGGTGCCTCGACCAGGAGCACCTGCAGGGGGGGAGGGGGGGGGGGGGAGGAGGAGGAGGAAGAGGAGGAAGAGGATACATTATACGGTGTTCCCCCATATGTCTTATCAGAACCTCCATGCCCCTTTCTTCCTCCTTTTCCACCTTTCCACCTGGGTTTACACAAGGTGCTACGAACACTTATCTAATCCAATAATGTGCAATTATTTTCTCGATTAAGCAATTCATCCGTAAGTCTTTTTAATAAATAGGTCGTCACAATTTTCATTTTTTCTCCGACCAGCAAACCAAAACATAAACAAATATCAAATATACTTATATATGTTTTTTTTTTTTTCAGAATGTCAGAAACAAAACATACAATAATAATAATAATAATATATATCATTTTCTTTCTTGTTTTTTCTCACTCATAATAATAATTATAACAAAGTACAAAAAAATAATGATACAAAAAATAAAAATAATAATAATAATTCTCAAATAGTCTGTCGTGTTCAACAGGGACAAGAAGAAGCTTAAAAAAAACTTTTCTGGTCCTACCCCCTCTAGCATACATTTTCCTTATAAATAAAATATTAGGTCATCGTTTGTCTTGTTCATTTGTTTGTTTTTTTACAAAACAATCAGAAAGAAATTACTTTTACAATTACAAGAAATAACAAATGGGATTGTACAGGTCCTGTTCATAACCATTCATGATTTGGCTTCTAAATAATACTTTCAGTTTAGATAGACTTGTACAATATGTCAGTGCATCAGTACAGTTATTCCACAGACTAACACCTTTTGATGAGATGCAATGAAGTTTGGCATTTGTTCATACGGGTGGTTTTTTGAAAATGCAGTTTCCTCTCAACATGTGCATGCTTTCCCTCCATGTTAAAACATTTAAAACCACATTTAAAAATCCTAAACAAGAGAATGCAAAGATCTTTAACTTAAAATATGAAGCGGTATGAGCGATAAATGTCATATACTTATAAACAAGGTCCTAGGGTAATAGAGCCCTATTGTTTGCATCGACTTCACAAAAGGTTAGATTTAATATTGACTAAGACTTGTACAGACTTGCATAACTGCCAAACAGATATGTACATCACTCAGCTACACAGCAGAGGGATGTGGCTGAGCCTCACCTCTGTACTGCAGCAGACCCAGAGGCTTGTTTATCTCCACAGTGAAGAAGTCCAGAGAGCCGTTCAGCCGAGCCGCCACGATCCTGAGGAGGGAACACAAAGCGTAACAACTACTGAACATGTATCATTGTAAAGTGGGAAGGAGCTTGTGTCCTCTGTCCTCTGTTAGGCCTCAAGTTAGCAGATTTGGACTGAATGTAGTTTTATATGTACTAAGATACAACGAGCAAGCATCATATAATGTATATTAATAGTGTCATCTTGATGGAAAAATCATTATTAACTCTGTGTAAAAGCGCTTGTTGTATATAGCAATACAAGCATGCAAAAATGGAGATTACAACTCTTGTTCGTAGGTTGTTTGAGAAAAACAGAAACCAAATAATTTCCCCCAGAATGACACGAACAGTAATGAACCAGGTGCATAGAAAGTGTTGTTTTATCAGAGTAAATAAAGTACATGAGAGGCAGCTTAATGCTACACTTAAAAAACACCTGAAGTAATTAAAACTTACTTCCTCTGAGTCCCACCCCACAGGAAGCAGAGTGTACTTCCTCTGAGTCCCACCCCACAGGAAGTAGAGTGTACTTCCTCTGAGTCCCACCCCACAGGAAGCAGAGTGTACTTCCTCTGAGTCTCACCTGTTGTTGAGGAAGGCCAGAGCTGTGATTCCAGAGCCCCCGTCTTCATTAACGCAGCGCAGCGAGCCCTCCACTGCATCCCACAACTGGAACCAAATATGAGTTTCAATCAATTTCACATTTCTTTCTTAAAGTGCATGTAACATTGCGGTCATTTTTAATTGATATTTCAAACATAACATTAGAGGAGGTAGTGGTTCAGTATCTTTCTCAAAGCCTAAACCCTTTTCAGACACATGACCAGCTCCAAACTCGAAGCGGCTCTTAATGATAATAATAACATTTTAATTTCAAAAGTGTCCAAGAACAAGTCTTTCTAATTAACATTAGGCGTGATAAGGACAAAAGCATCTCTTAGCAGCGGATGAAAAGGCTCATATTTCACCTGTAATACTTACTTGTCATAATGAATAAAGACATGTCATTCAAATGTGAATGGAAGACTGAGAGATGTCTTAAAATATCATCAAGACCTGAAATAACACATTTGTTCAGGTCTTCGTGTAAAAATAAACAGAAAAGCAAAATGGATACATATACAATATTATATAATTCTGTATTTGTTGTTTTGTCTGTCTGTCTGTTTTTAGTTTTACAGACTAATTATTATTTTAGTTATTATTATTATTCCTCCACGCACCTCCAGCTTCCCGCTGCTCCTCCCTGCAGCGATCAGGTTTCCTCTGAGCTCCAGCGCCCACACGGAGCTCTCCCAGTCGGCGGTGGCCTGCGTCCCCGTGGCGGAGCCTCTTTCTGGGGTCAGCGAGGCGGAGGCGTCCCCTCCGCTGGGTCTCCTCTGGAGCGGGACCCCTGAGGGCGGGGAGGACGAGGCCGATGGGTACGTGGAGGGGGAGGGGGGCTCGTGCTCGATGTAGGCGCGCTCCACCAGACCCCCGAAGTCAAAGCCGTCGCGGGGCGGGGTGCAGAGGTGGGAGGGGGGCGGGGTGCCGAGGTGGGACGGGGGCTGGGAGGCGAAGTTGGTGTCGATGAGCGGCGTGAGGTCGGGCTGGTCGTTGAACAGCGTGGGACGGGAGGGGGCGGAGCGGCGTCTCAGAGGGAAGCCGTCCTCCTCAGAGAGCCCGTCGCTGAGGGGGGGGGTCGGAGCCCAAACACTCAAACTCTGAGGCTCCGCCCACACCGTCCCAGCCGTCCCGCTGATCCCAGAAGCCACTGCTGCTGCTGCTGCGCTTCAACCTGAGGACCAATCAGAGTAGAGCTCCATCAAAACTGCTGTTTGTCACCGCCTTGTTTCACTCAAAGTGCAACATATTTGACTAATAATGCCGGTTTATAAACGATATAAACCGGCATCACCCATACACATTTCAATCACACAAACCCTCTCTTTTTATGATGTATTTATTGTTATTTCCTTGCTTTTATTTGTATGTTTAGTTCCTACACCAGCACATAATGTGACCACCAGAGAGCACTGACAAGTTCATGTTTGTAACTCAAATGTCCTGCTCATTACATAGTTTAATGACAATTCCTTCAATACAAAAAATTAAAAGGGACTAAAATAAGATAGAAAACAGCCTCAAAAATCCAGTATTGGCTGTGCTGTCATTCAAATAATTATGTTTACATATTTGGCTTTATAAAAGGCTGAAGTGTGCCGTTGTTATACCATAAAGAATGATGGTGACCAGAATAAGGGAACTGAAAAGGATTCAAGTAAAGATTAAAATAAAAAGCACTGGACAGATTTAGCAATAAGAAAAACTGACATATATAATAAAATGAGTATTGTGAAAGTGCTCACCCCTGGTGTGGGATGACGGTCAGACAGTCTCCAGTCTGAGCGTCCCAGACCCGGATCTGACCTGCCAGACAGCAGCTGGCCAGAAGCATCCCGTCACTGGCCAGACACTCGATGTCCTGCAGCACACAAACACAGAGCGTGACCCAAGAGGACAGACACATGGAAGTGTTTTTCTCAGTCTGTGATGGAAGCCATGACTCCAAAAACTACGTTTTTTTCCTCAAATTAATCTTAGGCAGTATTTTTGCCTCCCCTTTTATTTTGTTCACAACCCTTTGTTGGGAGGCTGTTGTCTTCCTCCTGATGTCTGTCCATGTCTACTACAAAAACCTGATCTAAAACAGTTCTGGAACAATGTGTTAAAGGTCACCTATTATGCAAAATCCTCTTCTTCATGTCTCTTCTACATCAACACGTGTCCCCTCTTCTTCATGTCTCTTCTACATCAACATGTGTCCTCTTCTTCATGTCTCTTCTACATCAACATGTGTCCCCTCTTCTTCATGTCTCTTCTACATCAACATGTGTCCCCTCTTCTTCATGTCTCTTCTACATCAACATGTGTCCCCTCTTCTTCATGTCTCTTCTACATCAACATGTGTCCCCTCTTCTTCATGTCTCTTCTACATCAACATGTGTCCCCTCTTCTTCATGTCTCTTCTACATCAACATGTGTCCCCTCTGTGGAAAGAGATTCTGAAAGTTTCAGGAACAAAGATTCTCTCTCTTTTTGTCCTGATCCATTTATATAAAAACCTGTCTGAAAATGAGCTGATCAGATTTTGGCCACTTTATGATGTCATAACGATGTTTTGGCTTGTGTAACCATTAGCCAATCACCAACCAAGGTAACCCCCCCCCCCCCACCTTATCACCTGAATCTCCTCCTAGAGCACCAATAGCCCGCGTTCACACCGGAGTACTTTTCCCCTTTAGTTCCGTTAGTACCCCTTATGTTGCGTTCACACCAAAAAGAGTACTTAGTGCCGGGAACTTTTACCCCCATTTGTAGTGCCTGCTAGAGAGGTGGTACTATCCTGGAGGGAAAAAGTGCCCCAGTTCTGATTGGCTGGGAGTCCCAGCAGCTTCTACTGAAGCCAGTCCCCAACTCCGGGGACTTCCGACCGGGGACTTCGGGCGGCAGTATACACCGTGAAGTTGTTTGCGGCCTGCCAGTAAACCCAAAGCAGAAGAAGAAGAAGTGACGTCAGCGGCTCATTTGCGTAATCTTCCCTCAGGGAAAAGTACTCCGGTGTGAACGCGATTGGTACTTAGCGCCCTGGGGTAATAAGTGCCGAGGCACTAAGTGCCGGCACTAAGTACTGCAAAGCACGTGGTGTGAATGCGGCCATTGTGTTCTTTTTAACCAAATCTCTCTCAGAGGGGCGTGGGGAGGGGCTCCTTATTTTCATCTAAAGTAACAGACAGAGAATCAGCACTTTGGAAACAGGGCTGAAACAGAGGGGATTATGGGTAATGCTGCAATGATCTGTTTGGTGTTTCAGCCAATCAGAGACAGGCTCTGGATATATCTGAGACCTGTGATATATTGATGAAAAACACTATAATAGGAGGACCCTTTAAACGATCGCTGTTTGCAAACCATTTGGCTCAATCTAATACTTTATTCTGTCAGTTCGGTGTCCTCTCTATCTGAGACCCTGCTCACCATGCTGTGGCCCCTCAGCAGCAGCGGGGAGATCTCGCTGACGGGAGGCGAGTATCCGTAGTCGTCGCAGGGCAGCTCCCCGCGGCGCCGGCGCCCGTGAGAGACCCCGTTCTGGCCGTAGTTCCGCGGGCAGAGGACCCGGTAGAGACAGAAGAGCAGCAGAACCAGCAGGACCCCCGCCGCCAGACCCAGAGCTGCAACCCTGGAGAGGAGTGTATGTGTATTTTAATCAGCTCAACACTTCTGTTTTCCTGCAGCATAGTCAGGATTGTGGGAAACGGTATTTCGATCTCTCCGTCTGTACACACAAACTGGAAGATTGACCATAAAGTTGACTTTGATCCAAACCATTGTTAAAGTGTGCAGTTTGGACAACAACGGCCTTCTAGAGGTCACATTATACGATTTCATTTCATTCCTGTTCCATAATTTAATATATGTTGTTATTAGATATTACAATTCTTAGCTATTTAAATGCTGCTACTCATCTTGTTGCCTTGGATGACTAACTTATTTCCCTTTATTTTAGTTTCTTATTACTAATTTGTACTTTTCTGTTGTTTAAACGTGTTAGTTACTTTATGATTGCTTTGCTCTTTATCTGCTATGTCACTTTTCTTTTAGATTTCCCAGCTGTGGGACTAATAAAGGAATTCTGATTCGTTTAACTACAATACAATTATTTGTTTTACAGTAGCCCAACATGCACTTCCTCTAAAGTCTTTTTGTCTCTTTCACATCTTTAACAACTTTTGAATGACTTCAGGTCTGCAAGTTAGTAAATAATCTACATTATTCAGAGATCTAACAAGTGTTTACATTTTTAAGATGTTACTTTTAATTAAAAAAAATTCTGACACAAAACACCGGAGAGCTCTGAGCCTCACCTCAAACATATTCAACTGGTTAAACTGAAATGGGCAATTGTTGTAGTGAAGGCGTTTGAAATGTAACTCTAAGACAGTGACCATCAACTGGCGGCCCGCGGGCCAAATCTGGCACGCCAGACATTCTCATCCGGCACGCGCTGTGGCGCTGGCGGAGCGGTTAGCACGTTCGCCCCCCACTCATTTTTTTTTTTACAACGTCTCGTGAGTAATGTGCAGTACCGGAGTCCAACAGAGAGGCAGCGGCTGCGGGACAGTAGCCTGCGTACTGCGTAGCCTTCCCTGCCCTGAAGAAGTGATCCTCCGTTAGCGTGAAGAGTCTGCTTTATGCGCTCCGCAGTTGCCCCGGCTACGAGGCTCCGGCGACTTGACAGTACATGAGCGTGCTCCACTAACCCCGTTAGTCACAGCCACGGCCATTGCCGTTCGAAAGCGCTGGAGACGCTGTAGTACATATGCCAGGCCAGTAGATGGTGCTGTTCTCACTGAATCTGCCCTTGCAAAAGAATGAGGCATGGCTAAAATGCATGATCTGTTTGGTATTTTGAAAAAAAAAAAGTATAAATATGCCTTATATAGGTATGGTCCTACACTATATTATTCAAATATAGCATGATAGGTCCACTTTAACAAAAGACGTAAGGTGTAGAGTTACATTTGTATTAGACAGTAGAAAGGAAATGAGCCGTATTTGTATTCTCCATTATGCACTGTTACTTAATGTTGGTTATTTCCATGGCCATTTATATTCTATTCTATGTTTTGTTAACAGTTTTTTAAGTTGAATTTGGGAGGGGATGGGTTAGTGTGAAGGGGAAGTATTTGTTTAAATGGATAGAAATACACTTCTTTGATAATATCACTGTATCAGTGTATCTGTCCTTCAATAAAAAACATAGTAAAAAAGAAAAACATTTGAAAAAGACGGCCCAGAACACAACCCATGGATGTTTTGATGACATTTCCAGCATCTTATAACCCAATGAAGACTATTTAAAATGAAGCTTTATCCTAATGGTTGCTTGATTTATAATGAGCAACCAGGCAGCTAAACGCAGTTAGCACAGGATATTTTTGGGGCTGTCCAATTCCAATTGAACTGGGTTTTTTGTGAGTTTAAGATGAGACACTCACTCAGTTGTAAGGCTGTTCTCGTGACCTGAGCAGAGCAAATCAACTGCACTTCCTTAGATAAATAACGATGTGAAGAAGTTTCAGTCTGTACTTCTTTTGTTAGCTTTCAAAGAACAGTGTGTTTTTTTATTCATTATTGATCTTGGTTCATGTCCGCGTGTCCTTCCTTGTTCTCTTGAAACAGCTTCCAGAAGACTTTGATTTGTGCCCGTCTGAGCAAAGTGAGCTCATTAGGAGAGGAGAGGAGAGGAGAGGAGAGGGGAGGAGAGGAGAGGAGAGGAGAGCGAACCGAGGAGAGGAGAGAGAAGAGGAGAGAGGGAGGAGGAGAGCGAGAGAGAGAGAGAAGCGGGAGAGGAGAGGAGAAGAAGACCGAGGATGGAGAGGAGAGAGAGAGGAGAAGAGAGAGGATGACTGGAGAGGAGAAGAAGGGAGGATGGAGTGAGAGAGAGAGAGAGGAGGAGAGGAAGAAGAGAGAGGAGAGAAGGATGGAGGAGGAGAGAGGGAGAGGAGAGGAAGAGAGAGGGTGACAGAGGATGATGAGGGATGCAGGAGATGTGAGAGCGAGACTGAGGGGGAGAGGAGAGAGAGAGGAGAGGAGAGGAGAGAGGAGGAGAGGAGGAGAGGAGAGGAGAGAGGAGAGGAGAGGAGAGGAGAGAGGAGGAGAGGAGAATTGAGGAGAGGACGAGGAGGAGACACGGAGAGAGAGGGGAGAAGGAGAGAGAGAGGAGAGAGAGAGGAGAGGAGAGGAGGAGAGAGGGGGAGAGGAGAGGAGAGGAGAGGAGAGGAGAGAGAGGAGAGGAGAGGAGAGGAGAGGAGAGGAGAGAGAGAGAGGAGAAGAGAGTGGAGAGGAGAGAAGAGAGGGGGAGAGGAGAGGGGAGAGGAGAGAGAGAGGAGAGGAGAGAGGGGGGGAGAGAGGAGGAGAGGGGAGAGAGAGGAGAGAGGGGAGAGGAGAGGAGAGAGGGGGAGAGGAGAGGAGAGGAGAGGAGAGGAGAGGAGAGGAGAGGAGAGGAGAGGGGGGGAGAGGAGAGGAGAGGAGAAGAGACGCCCCCCCCCCCCCCCCTCCCTCCGAATGACTTTAAAGTTACTGTATAACAAATCACCTCAGCTGGCAGAGAACTCTCTGCTCCACAGCTTCTCTAGGACTTAAAATCACACTGTACATTTTACATTTATATATTCAGTTTAATATGTAATATTCCATCCCTCACATCCCTATGTATATATAACAACTTGCGTTATATCTTGTTGTTGTTAATTTGTAAATTCAACATGTATCTTTTCTACTTTCTTTTTTAATTCTAGTATTTAAATTGTTATTGTTCAATGTCGTGTCTTTTTCTGCTGCTGCAACACAAACATTTCCCAAATTGGGATCAATAAAGTACTTCTTATCTTATCTTATCGTGACCTCTCCCGCTCACGGAGCAAAACATGAACACTGGCGACTGCCATCGTGTCACCTTGTTTACCGATGGTGGTAACTAGGGGTAACATGGATGCCTAAGTCTCACTGATGTATCGGTGAATCCCTAATATCAAGGAATTTGGTCCAAATATTGAGATATATTATTTTTCTGCATATCGTCCAGCCCTAGTAAGAACAATTACAAGCTCTGAATGTAATGTTTGAAATAGCCTTTATTCATTTATTATTGGATAAGTGAGGTACATTTGTATTAAAAAAACGTCTTGTATTGCTCAACGCTCCATTGTTTGATAACGTTGCTGCCATGCAAAGATCTTATGAAGTGATAAATGAACAACTCACTAGCGCCTGTGTTGCAACCTGCTCTGAATCTTACTGTACGTTCACCTTGATCCTTCTGGCCTCCTCAGGGTCATCTCAACACGCCGTAAACTCAGCTGCCACTCGTCGCTCTGAAGGTCACAACCTTGACCTCAAGTGACAGCCTTCGCATCTGCTGTTCAAGAACTCGGCCTTCATCTGAGCCGTCAAGGTGACAACTCTCTGCCTTACACAACACACAACACTACACACTCTGAGTGAGGGAGGGGGAGACGTTGTCCTGGCAGCAAAGTGCTTAATTGGACGAATTGCAAAGACTTTACTCAGATGAGAGCAGATGATTTTTAACAGTTTTTTTGGGCTAAAAACACCACAAATGTTTGGTAGCCCTGGGAACAAATCAGATGCTGTTTCTTTGCCTTAAAGTTGCAGGAAGTGCTGTGTGTCAAATGTCACTGTTTGTTATCTCCGTTGAAGCAAAGATAGAGATGTGGACGCAGAACAAGGGAGGCTTGTTTTCCACACCTTCAGAAAGCGTTATATCTTTCTCACTGAACCAGCCTCGCTTTAAAACATCTGAGATCTGACTTGAGATGAGATTCAGCAGTACAGGAAGTCTCTTTGCAGAAAGAACACTGGGTTACTCTGAGCTTGTGTTTATTTATTTGGCACACTTATAGTTTTAGTTAGACTTTGGATGAGTTATTTATGACAGGAAGTGTTAGTTTCTCTGTTTGAAGTTGTGTCAGGTACATAGGCTCTTTACAAACTGGGTAACTATAGAAAGTGATAAGAATGTAATAAGTGCATGTCAACACCCTGATAAGAGGCTTTTTTTGGTCCTAAAATTCAAGTGAAAAGGTGTCAGTGTGTGTGTCAGTGTGTGTGTCAGAGTGTGTGTGAGTGTCTGTGTGTGTGTGTGTGTGTGTGTGTGTGTGTGTGTGTGTGTGTGTGTGTGTGTCAGTATCAGAGTGTGTGTCAGTGTCAGAATGTGTGTCAGTGCGTGTGTCAGTGTCAGACTGTGTGTCAGACTGTGTGTCAGAGTGTGTGTCAGTGTGGGTGTGTCAGTGTCAGAGTATGTGTCAGACTCTGTGTCAGACTGTGTGTCTGTGTGTCAGTGTGTGTGTGTGTACTAACTTGTAGAGGGTGAGGTCCGTCTGTAGGTCTGCAGAGACCTTGGGAATGGAGGGGGGGGGGTGCCTCGTGTCCTGAGGGTGCCGCGTCTCGATGGCCTCCTGAGGGCTGAGGTGAACCGTGACGGGAATGACGGGCAGGATGCTGATGTACCTGCAACAGAACGCCCAGTAATTAACGAGATATCACAAAACCTGATCAGGTCCAAAACTGGCCAACGCTCCTTTTCATATAAAAGGTTTACAGAAAATGGGTGAATACAAAGTGTGCGTTTGGCTTTCACTCCACCATGTTTAAAGCCAAACGCTGAGAGCTGCCGTTTCATGTGGCAAGAATAAATGGTAATACTACTGATGATTTTTTAAATGTGTAGTTCTCAAATCCTACATACAAACTGAAAGTACGATAACAAATGCTAAATTAAAACCTTTGTAAAGAACTTTTTTTTATTTTTTTTATATTTGACAAAATGAAACAAATATGTTTATTTTAATTTTTTTTTAAGAAGGCCAATATCCAAACTTGTTTTTGTACTCAACTGTGTGGCCTTTCGGAGACTTCTACAAGAGTCAGCATCTGCACTCTCTCCATCTTTTCACACTGTCATTGCAGTCGGGGAATTGCTGGTTTAAAGGCTAAGTTCTGAATACATGGCCACGTACTGAGCATGCTTAACATTAAGCTGCCTTTGCTCTTTTCGCTGTAACAACGTACATTTCCCCTCTGTGGGACTAATACAGGTATTCTGATTCTGATACCTCCACAGGGTTTATAATCAAAAACAACATGGAAATGTAACTCCTAAAGATCTATAATATGCATTTTATAATAACAAATAACTGAGTGTAGTGTGTAAAGAACAACATCCTGACCATGTGTCCCTCCTGAGTGACTCACCTCTTGGCCAGCGTGATGTTGTAGTAGCTGAAGAGCGAGGGCCAGTGTCTGAAGGAGAGCCTCCTCCAGCCCTCCTGGTCCTCGGGTCCCCAGGTGATCTGAGGCACCGCGGGGGGGGGCGGCTGGGGGAGGGGCCCCGCCCTGCCAGCCCCATCGTGGTGGCCCTGTGAGTGGTTGTCAGGTAAGGGGGTTGGATCTGGAGCAGGGTGGATGCTGAGGGTGCTGGTGGGGTCGACTCCACGAAACACAGGGGCCCCGCCCAGGTGGGGGGGCAGAGCGCCTCCTCCGGGGTCTCCCAGAGGGCTCTGCTCCGACACCTGAGCAGCCAGGTAGGTTCTGATCCCAGCCGGGTCGGTGTAGACCAGGATGCCGATCCAGATCACCGTGCCCACCTGGAGAGGAAGATAATAACAATAATATTAATACATGTGGGTATGTATGCATATATGGGTGTATGTGTATATGTGTGTATGTATGTATGTGTACGTACATGTTTCTATATATGTATGTATGTATATGTGTGTGTTTAAGTAGATACATGTTTCCACCTTCAGTGCAGTTTTTTCAAAAGGAATTTCTCTCTTTCTTTGCATGAATGGTTAATTGAACACAGTGTTCAATCAGCAGACATTTTTCTTTTGTCATAATAACTTATCTCTCTTTTACCAACTGTCACAACAAACCAATTATTCACATGGATTCTCACAGCGTACGATAACCAGCAGATAAACACTCAATCAACACTTAATCTCAAATGATAGTTCTCTTTTTTTAGCATCACTACAACTCACTTCGCTGATGTAAATATTCATGATGGTTACTTTAGAAACAAGTAAAGCTTTATGGCATATCAGAACACTTTTCATATCCATGGGAGTCGAGGCGAAGGACATCAGTGGAATAAACTGAAAGGATTACCCGATAAAAAACTATCCAGCTTCACCAAAATCAACTCAAGCCCTACTCAGTTCTCCTGTGAGATGAATAGAGACTGATCGAGACACCATTCTCTCTTTTAGCGACAGTACAGACTGGAATTTCCAGATCAAATGGTTACAAAATGTTTCTTTAAGCCATCAAATCGCACAGCTATTTATCCATGTTAACCTCGTGTGAAGGTCAGATTGAGGGTGCAGCCACACCGATGTGTCACTGAACCATTTTACAGACAATGTTCCTGTCAAGCTTTGTGACATTAACACAATGAGAAAGTAGTTACTGAGAGAATGACTCCGGGCGCAGAAAGCACAGGAACAGGTTTACGACAAAGCAGAGTGTAAGCCAAACACAGATTTATTTAATAATAATAATAAGATGTTTATTTAGTATAGCACCTTTCACAAAGAAAGAACAAAAGCTGAAACTTAAGACGACAGAAACATGAATACAATAACAACATGAGGCAGAACACATCACATTCATACAGTCTGCTCGGAGTCTTCTCACCATGATGATGCGCTGAGCCAGGCGGGTTCGGGCCAGGAAGTAGACGACCCTCAGCCTCTTGGGGAGCCGCAGGTTCCTGAAGGCGGGGGTCTGCAGGGTGATGGTGTGGGGGGAGGGCCGTGGAGGGGGCGGGGCTTCACGGGGACGCAGAGGGCCGGGTTTGGGAGGCGGGAGACCGGCTTCAGCTGGCAGGCGGCGGTTCAAATCAGCCAGCTGGGGAGGGAGGGAGGGAGGGAAGAAGTTAGCACATCTGGATATAACTGTGTTTTTTGGCTCCAAACACCAAACAGATCATTGCAGCATTACCCATAATCCCCTCTGTTTCCAAAGTGCTGATTCTCTGTCTGTTACTTTAGATGAAAATAAGGAGCCCCTCCCCACGCCCCTCAAGAGATATTTGGTTAAAAAGAACACAATGGTGCTCTAGGAGGAGATTCAGGTGATAATGGTGGGGGGGGTTACCTTGGTTGGTGATTGGCTAATGGTTACACAAGCCAACACATCGTTATGACATCATAAACTGACCAAAATCTGATCATTTATTTATACATCTTTTATTTCTTTATAAAATGTAGCACCTGTCACAAAGCCCAAATCCCCTTTAATTAAAGTATTTTTGCATTGAGCATGTTTTAAATCCAACCAAAATTGGAATATTTCACTTTTTTAGGAGGTGGAGTGGAAGGGGTAGAGGAAGTTTACACATCTGGATAATTGTGTTGAAGACTACACACTAAAAAAAGAAATCATATGATGTATTCATAATGAAAATAATTGTTAGCTGCAGGAACTTGCACTGTTTTATATTGTTTGTGTCTTATATATATTATTTTGGATTGTTGGAGGAGCCAAAGATTTTCATTGCCATATCTAAACTCTAGCTACTGTGCATATTCAGGGTATATGCAGGAATCCTGAAGTCAAATGTAACACCTTTTTAAGACCTTTTTTAAGACCCTTTCCATACATTTTAAGACCTCATCGCCACTTTGAGTTCTAACCGGTTACCTTGGCGACACACTTTACCTCACATTTACTATATACAGTATTGATTGTCCTTCCTCCTTATCTTCCAACCATTTGGACGCAGACTTGCATTTCTCCATAACGATGTTGTTTAACAACCGGCGTAAACGGACCTTCGCGCGCTATCAAGCAGTGAGCGTGCGATGTCCTGTTCAGATGACGTCAAATCCAACGGGATGCCATAAATAAACTACACAGAATCACACTACACACCTACGCTATGATTACATTCAGGCACACTGTAGAATACAACCTCTTTGGACAATTTATATACTTATTGAAAACAAGCTACAAAATGTAATACCTTGGAAAATGCCGTTTAATACTTTTTAATAGCCTTCATTTTCACTAAATTGATTTATCAACTTGTAATACTTTTTAAGACCCCGCGGACACCCTGGTATGACAATGAAACTTATGAATGTTGAATGATATTGGCACATCATAAGCAGATAAACATAAATAAAAATGTATTTTATTTTAAAATTGAGCAACTATCACAACATCCAAATTCCCTCTCGATAAATAAAGTATTGTGATTCTGATAGGACAGGCAGATATATTACGTAAAGATAAAAGATGGCATGTTTTACAAATTGAAATTTTTTTTTTTGCTATTAAATCCTTGTTTCTTATGTCTGCATGGCTCTACTACAGGAGAGACTTGATGTCCTCTGAGATTAGATGGAAAAAATATGTTCCTGTATCGTATGGGCTTATAGTGCTAATGCTCATTGAGCGGGGCACTGAGCTAAACACAAATGAAAGGTTTCAGTGTGTGTGTACATTCTGAAGTACACGTGTGAAAACTGTAATCTGAAAACTATGTAGTGAGTGTGTGTGTGTGTATGTGTGTGTGTGTGACTAATCTGAAAACTATGTAGTGAGTGAGTGTGTGAGTGTGAGTGTGTGTGAGTGTGAGTGTGAGTGCGAGTGTGAGTGAGTGTGAGTGAGTGTGAGTGAGTGTGAGTGAGTGTGAGTGTGAGTGAGAGTGTGTGTGTGTGTGTGTGTAAACTGTAATCTGAAAATGATGTAGTGTGTGTGTGTGTGTGTATGTGTGTGTGTGTGTGTGTCTGTAATCTGACAACTATGTAGTGAGTGAGTGTGTGTGTGAGTGCGAGTGCGAGTGCGAGTGCGAGTGCGAGTGCGAGTGCGAGTGCGAGTGCGAGTGCGAGTGCGAGTGTGAGTGTAATCTGAAAACTATGTAGTGAGTGAGTGTGTGAGTGTGAGTGTGAGTGTGAGTGTGAGTGTGAGAGTGAGTGAGTGAGTGAGTGTGTGTGTGTGTGTGTCCTGAATCTGCTCATGAGGAAGAGCTTGTGTGTGTTGGCTCCAATTCATGCTTTTCATAATAGTTGAATGTAATCGCAATTGAAAGCGTCTGTACACTGCAAAAATGTAAAATCTTGCCAAGTATATTTGTCTAATTTCTAGTCACAATACGTCGTTACACTTGATATAAGACTTGATAACTTAAGTCTTGTTTTTAGACAAGGCATCTGAAGCATCTTTTGAAGTCAAAGTCTCTTAAAAACATCTTATTTTATAGGAAAATCTCCACTAACTAACATCAGAAAACTGAATACGTCTAAGCATTTCTGTCTTTTTTTGTTACAAATTCCCCAATTCTGGTCAAATATAGTTCAAAATAAGTTTTCCCAGCTAAATACAAGATCTCATTTATCGAAATATCCCATCTTTACTTCAATAAAGCCATTTTGTACTTGTTCTATTGGCAGATGTGTTCACTTATTAAAAGCGAAAACACCTTGTTTTTATTATACATTTACTTGTTTTTGGAGCAGCATTTTTCCCAGTGTATGTGTAGGGGAAAGTTCTCACCTCCATGCGTCGGATGTCTATAGATAACACCGTGGTGAAGAAGAACATCTGCAGGAAGAAGTCGGACACCAGCCCCACCACAGCAAACAGACAGAACTCCTAGAGATGAGAGAATCAGAAATGCTTTATTCGTCCCACAGCAACGCAGCAAAGGCTCATTACATTACATTAGGCTGATGTTTTGATTCAATATGACTTACAATAAGTGCATTCGACCAAGAAGATACAAACTTGAAGAAAACTGAATCATATAAGTACATCAGGTTTCATAGAGCCAAAACATTTCAAGTGCTACTCAACTAGCTTTAGATAAGCCAGTCCTTTGTTAGTATATAAGTGCTTTGTTAGTATATAAGTGCTTTGTTAGTAATTCTATCGCTCGAAGTGGAGTCGAAAGAGATGAGTTTTCAGTCTGCGCTGGAAGATGTGTAAGCTTTCTGCTGTCCTGATGTCAATGGGGAGCTCATTCCACCATCTTGGAGCCAGGATAGCAAACCCACGTGTTTTTGCTGATGGGAACTTGGGTCCCCCTCGCAGTGCGGGTGCAGCGAGCCGTTTGGCTGATGCAGAGCGTAGTGCACGTGCTGGGGTGTATGGTTTAACCATGTCCTGGATGTAGGAAGGGCCAGATCCATTCACAGCATGGTACGCAAGTACCGGTGTCTTGAAGTGGATTCTAGCAGTTACTGGAAGCCAGTGAAGGGAGCGGAGGAGCGGTGTGGTGTGGGAACATTTAGGAAGGTTGAAGACCAGACGAGCTGCTGCATTCTGGATGAGCTGCAGAGGTCGGATGGCACATGCAGGTAGAACAGCCAGGAGGGAGTTGCAGTAGTCTAGGCGAGAGATGACGAGGTCCTGGACCAGAAGCTGCGTCGCTTTCTGGGTCAGGAGGTGACGTATCCTCAATACGACTTATAATAAGTGCAAAAACCATAAAGATTCAGACTCCGAAGAACAAGGAAAGCGCAGATATATTCACTTCAAGCAAGTCATACCCTTGTAAGTCATACCCTTGTAAGTCATACCCTTGTAAGTCATACCCTTGTAAGTCATACCCTTGTAAGTGCTGGGGAATTAGTTTCAAGGCCAAAATTAACTTTTTTAATTGATTTATTGTATTTGAATTGTATTGCCAAGGTACAATCGGAACAGATGGGTTATCAGATTGCGGTTTAGTGCAGATAAAAAGGCAAAAAGATTAGATTATTATATCAAATAAAAAGCACACGTTAAAAAAAATAAAATGCAAACAAATAAGCAAAAACGTAATAAATAGCAGTATTTCTAATTATAAGTGAATATATTAAAGTATCATAGGAGCTGGTAACATTGACAAGTAAATATATTGTTAAGTAATAAGCGTTAATTGCACTTAAGTGTATATTGAACAGATGTTATATTGACGGGCAGTGTTATAGTGGAGACATCAGAGCATTAACAGGCAAAGCACGTAGCATTTCAAAACTTTAAAAAGGGTGCAAAAGAACTAACCCTTACAGTTTCTTAACTTTATGCAGCAGCTGATAAGATTGCTGAATTCTTGCAGTTCTTAAAGTGTGTCTTCATGGTTTATTACACTTATTGTGGATTGCTTTGGATAAAAGCATCGGCTCAATGATATGTAACGTAATGGGGTTTTGATGTACTGCATTAAACATATTCTGCCTCGGTACATAAAACACATTTAAGTGCTTTTATGCAACATTATGTTTCTTTCAGATGGGACAATATAACGGTGTTTGTGTTACCTGGATAGCCGGCACCAGAGTGAAATATCCAATGAGGATGATGCACAGTTCAGTGGCCATGTTCTTCATGATAGACCAGCTCTCATTACTAAGGCCTGCACAGAAAAATAAACAATGACACCATTACAAAAATATATCTAACAGGACAAGGCACACACACACACACACACCACACACACACACACACATACACACACACACACACACACACACACACACACACACACACACACACACACACACACACACACACACACACACACACACACACACCACACACACACACACACACACACACACACACACACCACACACACACACACACACACACACACACACACACACACACACACACACACACACACACACACACACACACACACACACACACACACACACACACACACACACACACACACACACACACACACACACACACACACACACACACACACACACACACACACACACACACACACACACACACACACACACACACACACTTTTCTTACCCTGAGCGATGCGGAGTTTGACCTCGAGATCGACGGGGGTGGACACCACAGATTTGGTGAGAACCAGGACGTTCTCCAGGCCGATCACAACCACCAGATACGGGAAAATCTCTCTGGAGACAGAAGACAACACACTTTTAAACTCAAGAAGAAAACATTTAAAAAGGACCCTCTTCTGTGTACGGAGGGGACAGTAGAAACAAAAAGGACACAAACAAATTGAAGTGAGTTTCTATTAAACACATAATGGTGATAATGAGCTCACATGAGGGACTTGGAAGAAGTTGTTAAGCTCGTTATCATCGGAGTAAAGAAAAGAATACAGCCAAGTCTCATGGTGGAAAGATCTCACTATGTTTTAATGTATTTATGAATGTAATCTTTATTCATGTAGGAAGACCATATGATTTCTAAAGATCCCATGTGTCATGCAATTGAAATGTTTGTTTGTTAACAAGACGCAAGCTAAAGTGCTTCCAGTATGTTTACAATTTTTTGATTGATTATCGGGATGATATTGTGAACCGCGATCATTTTTGGAAAGGATAAACATGACCTGACTTTTTTTAAAGATTAGCAAACCAATAAGGTGTCAGAATAAGTTAGAGCAAGAGTCATGGCTGGATCCAAAATAAGTGTGTGTGAAGGGTTGAATTCCATTTATTCAAGCCAATATTTACACTTAATGACTTATTAATACGCCATGTGACTGCTGGGAATTTCCTCCTCTGTTGACATGTACTGTACAGAGAGATTATTGTTCAAGTAATAGTGTAACGTGTATATATGTGGGTCACAGAGGAGTCATCAGACACACTCTCTAACACTTTGCATGATAAAAACACACACACTCCACTATATCAGTGTGTGGAGTGAGCAGTGTGTATCTTGCATGCTCTCGGTTGTGTTGACCTTGACACACAGAGAGTGAAACGCGGCCCACAGCTGCGTGGATCCTGGTCACTTGTTGGACACTCTGCCGCTGTCACGCCACGATAACTGCTTTCTAATAATCCTCAAACAATTGGACGAACCATTAAATGTCAATATCACAACATCTCCACCCCCCTGGTGAAGCCCCGCCCACTAACACACAGATCCTTACACCCACCTGCTGTAAACATTAACGCAAAGCCATGTGAAGTCAATGCAGAGGAAGTGGAGAGTCAATAACGTGCTTCGTGTGTGTGTGGTTGTGTGGTGTGTGTGTGTGTGTGTGTGTGGTTGTGTGTGTGTGTGTGTGTGTGTGTGTGTGTGTGTGTGTGGTTGGACCCGTCCTTGTCTCTCTGGGAATAAGATAAGAGATAATGATGAAGCTGTAACTGCCGCAGTAAATATTAACAGGATATATTTGAACGTCGACAGCGGCGCATAACGAGGACAGAAGAACAAGTTCCCACTGAGAATCAAATTCAGATTTGTTTCTGTAACGTTCCACATATACAAGTTTGAGATCAATTTGTTGGTCAACTAGTATCCAGAGCAGTTGATTTTTATAAAATGTTCTCTATGAAAAAGACATAAATGACACAGGTGGTTGGATATGCATGCTAACATTAGCATGTTGGGGTTTATTAGTTTATTATGACTACCATCTTACTTCAGCGTGTTAGCATCCTAACAGTTGCAGTTGCTGTAAAACTGATGCTAATGGAAATGTAATTAGTTTGAAGGTTTTTATTCGTAAATAACATTTAGACTTCATAATTGCACTGGATGAAGAGTTGAGGATTCACAGTTATAAGGATTTATGGTCTGGGCACCACAGCTATCTGTTAAAATCATCCTTTCAGAAACATGAGTGTTTGCGCAAAACTTAATGGCATTTTTTTCGAATGGTTGGTATTTAGATCGGTAGATATTTCAGTCTGGACCAAAGTAATGGACCAACAGTTATGTAGTACGCTCTCTAACTTTCCCAAACTGTGGCCCCCTGGGTGGCAAAAGCTTAGTCTGTAGGGACTTGGCTTGGGAACCGGAAGGTCGTTAGTTCAAGTCCCAATTAGACCAATTACAGAGTGTGGATTGGTAGCTGGAGAGGTGCCAGGTCTCCCTCTGGGCACTGCCGAGTTATCCGAGGTGAACCAAACTCCAAAATCCTCTGAGAGCCTAACACTGTCAGCCCCCCTTCGCTCTGACACCACTCCATTAATGCATGTTTAAAGGTCCTGTTATTTTCAGGCCTGTGTGTGTAATGTAAATATAACAACACAGTGAACATTAGATTTCCGATCAGAGATTAATAACGCATTTCTTCTTCTGAATCCATAATTGTCAGACTCATGTGTTGATGCCTCGGATACTTAGTTGAAACTAACTGTTTTCTAAGGGCAAAAAATACCCCCAAACTCTCAGCATTCATCTCTGTTCCTGTCCTTTTCTCAAGGTATACTGTTTGACAGACAGATGTTAAAAACAGAAGCAGCATTCCTACCCTCCATTGAGCGTGGGTGTGAGTCCAAACAGCGTGCAGAGTCCCACCGACATGAGCAGAGAGCTGAGCACGGTGACCACAGCAGCCAGAGCCAGACCCCACTTAGACTTCACCATGTCGATCTTACCTGAGGGGGGAGGAGGAGAAAAGATGAGGACAGGACACTGGAGCTGTCTATATAGCTAATATATATATATATAACTATTGTAACCATTTAACATCTCAGCCAGGAAGTTCTGTGTAAAAAAGAGGCATGCAAGTTTCTTAGTATGCCAGGTAGTGAAGTTCTCGAATTTGAGCCAAGAGAGCTTTTTAAATGGAGAACACATCTTAAGATTAGTCCATAACAATTTTACTTTGCGTTGAACTACAGACTTTTCAAGCTAGTATTTTTTAAACGTTTATCCAGAAAAATATCTACATTTTAAAGATCTAGCACATATTTTATTGGACTTATAATTAAAATAAAAAGCCAGCACTTTTGCTTCCACGTCTAAAAAAAATGTATAACAAAATACAGACATATTTAATTAAAGAAAAATGTAGTTAGGAAAAATCTTAAGCTTACTTTTGGACTTTAATTTAAAAAAAGGTGGCTATCGTGAATTAATTAACGGGCCTGGGAGTTGATATTAAGTGATGTACTTTGAGTAAGTGTTTGTTTAACGAGCAAAAGTTTGTTCAGGAAGTCGCTGAAGGGTTCGATGGGTTCATTCTTACAGCAGTGTGAATGTTCCTGTGTGAGGACGAGGACACACACACACACACACACACACACACACACACACACACACACACACACACACACACACACACACACACACACACACACACACACACACACACACACACACACACACACACACACACACACACACACACACACACACACACACACACACACACACACACACACACACACACACACACACACACACACACACACACACACACACACACACACACACACACACACACACACACACACACACACACACACACACACACACACACACACACACACACACACACACACACACACACACACACACACACACACACACCCACCCACCCACCGGCCCGTTTCAAAGCTTAAGTGGTGTTTGAACAAAGAAAAAAAATCCAAGATAAGGAAAAGTGACGGAGGAACCAGACACACAGGACGGAGCAGAATGGGATTTCAAGATTCAAGGCTTTTATTGTCACAATAAAACAGATAAAATAGTGCAAGTAAATAAAATAAAATAGAATATAATAGAAAGGGACTGACGTGTGGAGAAGTAGATGTAGGCGAACAGGATGATGTAGGTGGTGACGAGCGGGATGAGCTCTGCGATGCCAATCTCCTCTTTGAAATGCACGTGAACCATGTGGTCGTCTCTCAGGCTGCAGTTGGCTGACGGGTGGAGCTGTTTCAGACGGGACCGCAGGCTGCCCAGGAACCTACACACACACACACACACACACACAGAGATCATCATCAGCACTACAAATGCATTCCATTAAATGATGAATAATATCCAGTTGCTTCCAGACAATTACTTAGTCGAGCAATTCAGCACTTCTGTATCTATCCTGTTGGCTCAGTCCGAGGTTAAATATGACCAGTCAGCTAAATGAATTAGAAGGAAAAGGGCCAATATGCTCCACAAGTCATTGTAAGTGACCACAGCAATAATGAATGCAGTCTGCAGCTTTACAAGAGAAACAAATCAATTATAATAATTATAATTGATTTGTAGAGCGAATGTCCCTAAGGAATATATTCCAACAGGTGCAGTTGAAGTAGCATTATGACAATTGCCTTTATATGGTGTGATAAAGGCGAAAATAATGATACGCTAATATTTTGGTGCAGAGACTAAACTAAATGTTTTTATTATGGGCTGATCTGATTTCCTTTTTTTTTTCTCTGCCTATTTTCTTTGTTTCTATTAACTATTTTTGAACACACACACATAAAATGTTTGTAACATTTCTTAAAAAGAAGTTTGGAATTGCATATTCATTAATTTTAGAGAATAATCAAAGACAACTACTGCATACTAGGGTTGCAAAGGGGCGGAACATTTCCGGTAAATTTCCATGGGAAGTTAATCTGGGGAATTTTGGAAATATTCCATATTGGAAACTTTCCATGGGAATAATGGGAACTAACTGGAGAGAAATGTAATCGAATTATATCATATGCAAGCAGAAATATAAACACTTTGTTTTGTCATAAGAAAACATCCATGCAAAATGATACAATTAAAAAAACATGACATTTCAACAGATTTATTTGTAAGTAGAACAGAACAAGTTTTAATTATTTTATTGAACAATCATTTGTTTCATTGAAGAACAAAAACATGAATGTTGAGTTAAATATTACTTCTAGAAATCATGTGTGCATGTGATGGAGGAATGCACAGTGCCTGTAGGGGGTGTGGTCTCAATAGCCATGCAGTAAGCAGTGTGCTATGTAGATGTGATTGAGGAATGGCATGGTTATTCAAGTGTACTTGAATGGCATCTGTTTGTTTTAGTCAAGATTATGCTAAAATATACTTTCCCCAACTATATTTAAGTTCCCTACAAAGAGCCAACCTTCAATTTAGAAAATTCCCAGTTTATTCCCGTTTATTCGAGTGGAAAGTTTCCATCTTTGAAAATTCCCGGAATTTTGCAACCATAGTCCATACTGTGTAAACCTTTCTATTTATTTGTCGGTTACTGTCCATGTCACTGTACGCACAACATAAACCCTCATGTGGTGTAAAATGAGTGGACAGAAACCAAAAGTGATCACCAATCAAGCTGAAAATCATCATACAAATTGTGCCATAATATGAAAAAGTAAAAAAAGAAAATTCAAGCAAAACTGTATTTTTATTTTCTCCTCTATATTTGAATATGTGACTCACCTTGCATCGTAGGTGGACAGCACTATAGTGATGGTGTACGTCACCACCCTCTTCCTGTTGTAGTGACTGACCCCAGTGTACTTCCCAGGGACGCCAAACAGCAGGTCTAAAACACACACAACAACATATGTTATCAAACACAGTGCAGCACGTACTTAACTTTATAAATACAAACAAGGTTCCCTTTTTAAGTCACTGACAAACAGAGAGTCAGATGGCTGAATATTCACACTGCAGCCTCTGAATGATCTGGAGTCATTAGTCGACAGTTTGGCTGACCTTCAGTGTGAAGCAGTTTCAGCCCGACTGTCTCCGAGTACAGACCCAGAAAAAGCTGCCACCTTTAAATCACCTGAGCTGAAAGGGGAGATGTCCACCATGTCAGTGAGTTTAAAAGGGGCCCTATGAGGCTCATTTTCAGGTAGTGATGGGAATTATGGCTCTCTGAAGGGAGCCGTATCGTATGGCTCCGTTCCTTTCCGAGAGCCGTTCAAAAGAGCCGTTCAAAAGAGCGGGGGCGGGGTTAATAGGTTTATCTGCAAAATAATCACCAGGATAATGATTGACTGTATTGCCAGATATCTACTTTTACTCACAGAAAAATGTATAATCTCTCGGCCAGCCAAACTACTACTCCAGCAGCATGCGTCATGCCATCATCTATGGCAAATTTGCATTCAGGAAAGCAAGTTCCCGTAAAGGCAAGTGGATTTATGGCAGGCAGTGAACCAACGATAAAAAGAATCTGATCGTTCGCGAACGCAACATCACTATTTTCAGGTTCATATCAGTATGTAGTGTCTCTACTGTGACATGTCTCCATGCTTTAATGTTCAAAAAGGTATTTATTTTTCTCATACTGCCTGTGCTGCAGCACCTCTTTTCACCCTCTGTGAAAAAAGCTCTGATTGGTTAGCTGGCCCGGCTCTGTTGTGATTGGTCAACTGTTAAAGATGTCCCGCCCCTTAGCATATCATGAAAGATGTGCTGGAGGGAACTTTGGGATTTTAGCCATGCACAAAAACCTATATAACCCACTACAGGAAAGGGAAAACCCCAAAGAGCATAAGATTTTAAACCCTCTTAAAAAACAGGATTAAGATGCATTGTGGGTAATGCATCTCCCTCTTCCTCTTCCTCCTCCTCACCTCGCAGCGTGGCCGAGGTGCTGAGGCCTTTGGGTTCGTGTTTCTGGATCGTCTTCAGGAGGTCGGGGTCCGAGTCGAACAGCTCCTGCTGGTTCTGCCAGTAGTTGCCGGGGGAAACGAGCAAACAGCCATGCTCCGGCAGCACCGACTGCATCCGCCGTAACCCTGGAAACAGATCGGTCACCTGGAGACAGAGCGACTCCAGACTGCGAACCCCAGAGCTGAGAGGGGAGACAGAGAGATGTTTTATTGCTATTGAGATGTTGAAATGTCTTTATAAGAAATAAGACAAGTTTCTTTCTTCTTGTCTCCTAATTTTATTGTACAACGCCATGTCTTTTTATGCTGCTGCAACACAAACATTTCCCAACTTGGGATCAATAAAGTACTTCTTATCTTATCTTAAGAGACAGAGAAGAGACAGAGGGGGGGACGGAGGGGAGAGAGAGGTGAGAGGACAGGAGTAAATCTCAAACACAAAAGAGCCTCAAGTAATTAGTATTTGCAGAGGAGGTAACTTTAGTCCATCAACTGCATAACTGAATAATAACAAGACAAGGGCAGCAGCAAGTAACTCATTACACTCTTGTTCAAATGTTCTTTATTTCAATGGACTTAAATGAACTGTAATGTACAACTTCCAAGCAAAACAAGAAGGTGTACAAATCAGAACTAAAGTGCTTTACAGGTGAAAGACACACATGTATCGTAAAAAGGGGGGCAGTTGGACATGATTGACTTAGTTGTTCAACTTATTATTCAGTTTGACTTCTCTTTGACTAAATGATAGGAAAATAAGTTATTGAATGTAAAATGCTTTATTATGAATATACAGTTAAATTGAAGTTTTCCTTGTCCGTGAAAAAAGTTACAAAACAGTTTGTGTATGATGGGTTTTTTTTTTTTTTTTAATCTGCAGGTAATTCAAAACAAAATTGTCCTGAGGAATCTGCAATCAGATTGTTGGTCAGATAAAGCGAGCAATTAGAAGAAAAAAAACAATGGAGGGTTTTTAATCGGTTAATCAGGAACATAAGCAGCAGACAGCAATCATTATGTTTAAAATAATAGCCACATATTTGTAGTACAAGCACTCATTGAGGTTTTACAAAATATATTTAACGTTGCACCGTGTTGTGCGAGTGCGAGTGTGAGTGCGAGTGTGTGCGTGCGTGTGCGTGTGCGTGTGTGTGTGTGTGTGTGTGTGTGTGTGTGAGAGTGTGTGTGTGTGTGTGTGTGTGTGTGAGTGTGTGAGTGTGTGTGTTTACCCGTCTGAGTGCACGTGGTTGCGGATCTCCTCCAGCAGGCTGAAGGCTCGACTCAGCGGAGACCGAAACACGTCCACCGGCACCAGGCTGCTGTCCCACGGAGACACCGCCGCCTTCACCAACACCTGCTGGATGTAGGCCACCGGGGGACCCCGGTACTACACACACACACACACACAGATGTTACACACTCATTTCATGCTTTTCAAATCAAATCAAAATGGAGTATAGCCCCAAATCACAAGAAATGACTCAAAGGGCTGTACAAAGCAAACAAAAAGACAAAAACAAAATACAAACGTCATATTAGGGCTGTGCAATTAATTGTATTTTAATCCCAATTACGATTTTGGCCTGCCACAATTACGAAAACAACATCATCGAAAAAAACAATTATTTTGCTTTGCTCGGTTGTGACAGTGCACTGCAACATATTTGATCAAATGTATTTGTATTTATCATATTTATATATGTTTAGTAGCTTGTTGAAGTGCGCTCCAAAATATTTGTTGATCTTGTTTATTGGTATTTATTATTTTGATATTATTTATTTAAATGTAGATATAAATGTATCATTTATTTTTGTATTGGTTTTTCAGTTGAATTATACGTTCAGGGAAATCAACAGTTAAAAAGATACTGCTCAAATTATTATTTGTATTTAAAAGTTCAATAAATGGATGTTTTCAAAGTCAATGAATAATCGTATTTAATAATCGTGATATCAATTATTGACCAAAATAATCGTGATTATGATTTTTGCCATAATCGCACAGCCCTACATCATAGCATCAACATTTTAAAAACATTATACATCAACATAAGTATTGCCATGTGATAAAAGCATGTGACTGAAGTGATGCTAATGTTGAACGGAAACTAGGTGATGGAAATGAGTTTACAAGGAAGACCGATGCGAAGAGGAGGCTGAAATGATGTGATCGTGGGCGCCTGGTAGATATTCACTGGGTAATTAATGATGATACATATGGAGGTGCTAGTCCATGTAAGATGTTAAAGGTTAATAGTAAAATCTTGAAGTCTGATCGTATGTGAATCGGGATCTATGATCAAATGTTCTGGTTCTGGTTCATATTCTCTAATGTTCTTTTAAACCTCAGGCAGTGAAAGTGTTGTATAGTTTCCTGTTGTCCTGCTCACTGTAATTTAAAACCACAGCTGACAAGTGAGTGCGTCCCTGCTTTGTGTTCATCTCTCATTATTCACGAGCTTCCATCTTTGTTGTGTAACAGGTAAGCCTACAGTATGTCCAGGTGTGTGAGACTTTCAGAGGGAGGACAATGTTGTGAAGAGGATCAGTTTAGAGTAAGGTCTGGGCAAAATGAACAAAATAATATATAACGATATTTTTGTATTAAATACCTCAATATCGATGTAGCGATCATATTATATAGGGGTTCACAACTGGTGTTTACACAATTAAATTCATGATCAATAAAGATGACTTACACGGATCAGATATATTGCTATTGATAATGGAATAATTAAATAAATGATAAATACAGATAAGATACGTGGATCTAATGACAAAATGGGTAACACAAATAATAGAAAAGTCTGGTATGTCGAGAAAATGACATCAGGTGACTGTAATGGAGCCTTTCCAAATCCTGGGAAAGACACTCATTTGATACGAAATCCAAAATATAAGAAATAAATCTAGTCTTATTTCTAAATATTGATATAATATATGATACATACATTGCCAAGACCAAGGCAACAACAAAAATACACAGTAAAACACGCAGTAGCTTAGATAATTATGAATAGTTATAAACATGTCTAGGTGCGTACTGTGTACAGTGCTTGCGAGTCTCATTATAAGAATAATGGAATATTCTGGGATGTATATATAAACGTGCGTGTGCTTTATCTAAAAGAACAAAGAAGTGGAATTATTTGCCGAATGATTTAAAGAGCTGTAAGAACATTTTTATGTTTAAGAAAATGTATAAAGAAAGTGTAATACTGTAATTAGACAGTATGAAGTTGACTTGATTGTGTTCTGGTTGTATGTTTCAGTATTTGTGAGCAACTGTGACTGAAAGAATATTGCTTTTATTTGAGTTTTTATGGTTATTTCATTTTTGTTCTTTCTTTGTACGAAGGGGCAGGTAAGATAAGATGTTCTGCTCCCTGCTCCTTTCCACCATGCGCTATACAAAAAACAACCAGTATAAGTGTACATGTTTTGTTTTAAAAGAACTGCCATGTGTGGAATAAATAAAATAAATAAATCTTCTCTTACCCAGTCGGGCCGCTCTCCGAGGTCTCCCTGAGGCTCATGGGAAGGGACGCTGTAGTCTCGCCCCCCCGTGGTGAACTCAACGGGACCCGTCCCAGGCAGGGGGAGCCGCAACAACGGATAGCTGCGAGACAAAGGGGACAAAACGGATATGAGACACAAGTTTTAAATAATATTAAAGCTCTCGGGAGGAAATGTTTTCAACAATGTTTAAGTTAAACTCATATTTCACTTATTGCTGCAACAGACGACCATTATCTCTATTTATATACAACTACAGTACACAGTATTTATTCTGCTTTAAAGTTTTTAATATCACATTTTGTCTATCTTATTCTACATTACATGTTTATAGGCTTCTCATTCCTTCAACCTTTTTGCATCATTATGTCTATTACACTATGTATAACAACTACGATGTAGGTTTTGTGCGTACGGAAAATAAAGACTTTCAATCTAAAAAGATTCTAAGCATTATTTGTTGTTTTTAAAGATCTTTTTTGGGCCAGAAAGAGACTTTAATAGAGATACAGTGGTGACAGGTGGAGATAGAGCGATATTGCCTGAAATGTTACGCCAGCAGAGCCGCCAGCTCTAACCACTGAGCCTTATACTTATTTGTTTTAAATGAACAGATGATTCCTGCAGTAGTTAGAACAAATATCTGCTTCTTTCTTAGAATTACAAGCAGCTAAAATGTATGATCATTTGAAACACGATCAGCCCTTAGTGTTTGTGAGGCTGCACATCAGTTATTAGCAGCAGATACCCGATACACATGTGTGTGCTGTGTGTGTTATGCAACACTTTAAGAAAACGTGACACCAGTGCCTCAGGCTTTTCCTGTGATTAAGTGCTTCTTGGACAGACCCCTTCCTCTTTCCTCCTGCCAATGGGTGGCTCCTTTATGAAACAAGTTTCCCTCAGAGCACCAAACCACTCATTACTTGGTCTGTCTGTCTGTTCATTACATGATGGTAGTGTTGAGCAACCCTAAAACTTAGCTGACAGGTGAGCTTATAGTGAAGGTAGGTGAGCTTATAGAGAAGGTAGGTGAGCTTATAGAGAAGGTAGGTGAGCTTATAGTGAAGGTAGGTGAGCTTATAGTGCAGGTAGGTGAGCTTATAGTGAAGGTAGGTGAGCTTATAGTGCAGGTAGGTGAGCTCATAGTGAAGGTAGGTGAGCTCATAGTGAAGGTAGGTGAGCTTATAGTGCAGGTAGGTGAGCCTATAGTGCAGGTAGGTGAGCTTATAGTGAAGGTAGGTGAGCTCATAGTGAAGGTAGGTGAGCTCATAGTGAAGGTAGGTGAGCTTATAGTGCAGGTAGGTGAGCCTATAGTGCAGGTAGGTGAGCTTATAGTGAAGGTAGGTGAGCTTATAGTGCAGGTAGGTGAGCTCATAGTGAAGGTAGGTGAGCTCATAGTGAAGGTAGGTGAGCTTATAGTGCAGGTAGGTGAGCTTATAGTGAAGGTAGGTGAGCTTATAGTGCAGGTAGGTGAGCTCATAGTGAAGGTAGGTGAGCTCATAGTGAAGGTAGGTGAGCTTATAGTGCAGGTAGGAGAGCTCATAGTGAAGGTAGGTGAGCTTATAGTGAAGGTAGGTGAGCTCATAGTGAAGGTAGGAGAGCTTATAGTGAAGGTAGGTGAGCTTATAGTGAAGGTAGGTGAGCTCATAGTGAAGGTAGGTGAGCTCATAGTGAAGGTAGGTGAGCTTATAGTGAAGGTAGGTGAGCTCATAGTGAAGGTAGGTGAGCTCATAGTGAAGGTAGGTGAGCTCATAGTGAAGGTAGGTGAGCTCATAGTGAAGGTAGGTGAGCTTATAGTGAAGGTAGGTGAGCTTATAGTGAAGGTAGGTGAGCTCATAGTGAAGGTAGGTGAGCTCATAGTGAAGGTAGGTGAGCTCATAGTGAAGGTAGGTGAGCTCATAGTGAAGGTAGGTGAGCTTATAGTGAAGGTAGGTGAGCTTATAGTGAAGGTAGGTGAGCTTATAGTGAAGGTAGGTGAGCTTATAGTGAAGGTAGGTGAGCTTATAGTGAAGGTAGGAGAGCTTATAGTGAAGGTAGGTGAGCTTATAGTGAAGGTAGGTGAGCTCATAGTGAAGGTAGGTGAGCTCATAGTGAAGGTAGGTGAGCTTATAGTGAAGGTAGGTGAGCTCATAGTGAAGGTAGGTGAGCTCATAGTGAAGGTAGGTGAGCTCATAGTGAAGGTAGGTGAGCTCATAGTGAAGGTAGGTGAGCTCATAGTGAAGGTAGGTGAGCTTATAGTGAAGGTAGGTGAGCTCATAGTGAAGGTAGGTGAGCTCATAGTGAAGGTAGGTGAGCTTATAGTGAAGGTAGGTGAGCTCATAGTGAAGGTAGGTGAGCTCATAGTGAAGGTAGGTGAGCTCATAGTGAAGGTAGGTGAGCTCATAGTGAAGGTAGGTGAGCTCATAGTGAAGGTAGGTGAGCTCATAGTGAAGGTAGGTGAGCTTATAGTGAAGGTAGGTGAGCTTATAGTGAAGGTAGGTGAGCTCATAGTGAAGGTAGGTGAGCTTATAGTGAAGGTAGGTGAGCTTATAGTGAAGGTAGGTGAGCTCATAGTGAAGGTAGGTGAGCTTATAGTGAAGGTAGGTGAGCTCATAGTGAAGGTAGGTGAGCTTATAGTGAAGGTAGGTGAGCTCATAGTGAAGGTAGGTTAGCTCATAGTGAAGGTAGGTGAGCTTATAGTGAAGGTAGGTGAGCTTATAGTGAAGGTAGGTGAGCTCATAGTGAAGGTAGGTGAGCTTATAGTGAAGGTAGGTGAGCTCATAGTGAAGGTAGGTGAGCTTATAGTGAAGGTAGGTGAGCTTATAGTGAAGGTAGGTGAGCTTATAGTGCAGGTAGGTGAGCTTATAGTGAAGGTAGGTGAGCTTATAGTGAAGGTAGGTGAGCTTATAGTGAAGGTAGGTGAGCTTATAGTGAAGGTAGGTGAGCTTATAGTGAAGGTAGGTGAGCTTATAGTGAAGGTAGGTGAGCTTATAGTGAAGGTAGGTGAGCTTATAGTGAAGGTAGGTTAGCTCATAGTGAAGGTAGGTGAGCTTATAGTGAAGGTAGGTGAGCTCATAGTGAAGGTAGGTGAGCTTATAGCAGAGTTCCCGTTAGAATATTTTTTTGCCGGTCAACATGTCCGTTATAGTTGAAATCTTCTGGACAAAATGAGAAAAGTGCCGGTCAAAGGTCTTCTTATTTATTGAGCTTTTAAACAAATTGATATGATTCGATATTAAACAAACTAATTCTAGTAGATGAACTACATTATTCAAAAGTGTACAGTAATTTATAACACGGGAATAATAAACGGAGCGCTCTCTCTCCCTCTCCTGACATCCCGTCAGTATCATTGTGCTAAAGGGAAATTATTTTGACCGGACATTTTGACCGGAGAGATTTAGATTTGCCGGTCTTCAGCATATTTTACCGGTCATAGTCCGGTAATTACCGGCTAACGGGAACTCTGGCTTATAGTGAAGGTAGGTGAGCTTATAGTGAAGGTAGGTGAGCTTATAGTGAAGGTAGGTGAGCTTATAGTGCAGGTAGGTGAGCTTATAGTGCAGGTAGGTGAGCTTATAGTGAAGGTAGGTGAGCTTATAGTGAAGGTAGGTGAGCTTATAGTGAAGGTAGGAGAGATGGAAAGAGCCTATCTTAAAAAGCATTTACACATTTTTACAAACAGTGTTTCTGTATATAAAAAACAGTAGTGAGAATGTACACAAGCCATCTAAAACCACAATCAGAGGTAAGAGGAAACTTTTAGCAATGAAGAATTAGCGTCCTAGGTGTCAGACTGACATTAGTCACGTATGATGACATTATCAGCATTTACAGGAGGTGTTTGTGTCGGGTCAACATTTTGTTAAACAAATGTGTTCTTTAAAAGGCTCCATGCCAAGATAAAGCTTGAATTTTGAAAAGCGATTAGTCCTTTCTTTATTTTAAACAATAGAAAAGACAGAAGGCATGCACTATGAACAAACCAAGAGCTTTGACACTTTGTAAATGAAGTAATAAGAGCTTTCTAATTTCGCAAATAAATGTGCAAATCCAAAACGTAGAGGCTTACACCTTTAATAATACCCCTTTCATTGCTGAGATGTGAAAATGAAGCAGGTCTACTTGTGTGTGTGTTTGACCTGTGTTACATTGATATAAAGGACAATCTAATCTGCAGTGTTGTTTGCTGATAAACAAGATGAATACACACAATGTTACAATTTCTATTTACTGTCCTTTTGCTCTTGTTTACTTTTAGGGCAAAATTGCACTGAGCTAATTGTTTTGCGGACTGATTTGTGTTATCTGAAACTGCCATGAAAGGCTTTTCAAGACATTATTCAGTAGCTGAAAACCACCTGAATCACTCAGTAGCATACTGGCGCACATAAAAAAGTCCTTTTGTAATCTCATATTGAAAAAGTGATTTACTAGACCCATCGGGGGTACATTAATGAATCATCTTTAGAAACATAATAATTTATTTATCCCGAAAAGTGGGTTTTGTGAGAATTGCTCCAGTTAAGAATAAAATAAGTAAAATATTGAATACAATATTTATCTAAACATGAGATCTTGAAGTTAAATGACCAAAAAATATATATAATAAAATAGAAATATTGATATAAACATAAGAATATATGGTAAAATGTCCAATAAAACATGAAAAAAACGTTACAAAATAATCATCTCTGATGTGTTTTGGGAGTGAGGAGAATGCATTTGTTTGATAATAAACACATGTTTAAATGTTTAAGATGAAGTTTTTATCATGTTTTAACTTTAGGAGAGATTGTGAGGGTCTGGAAAATGATCTAAAAACTGAGGAGTGGGTGATTAAGTTTATGCTGAGTCACTGTTATTGATCAGTAACACTATCACCGTCCACGCAGTCACGTTGTGCTGATCGTTAGTACAAACAAATATCTCCCTTCTAGGAATGTGCTTTATGCAGTTTGTGTGGAAACCTTTCCTCTCCCTTTCTGTTTTCTCCCCCGCTCCCTCACCCGACCCCCCCCCCCCCGCCACTCTGCAGGGTCACTGTACCTCCACAAAGGCCTCTTTTGTGCGGAGCCAGCCCCCCTCCTGACAGGCAGATGGAGGGACAGGCCTCCCATTCTCACAGGGCCATTTTCTCACAGCCCTCGTCTCAAATGCTGCCTTTAACATCCCCGTCGACAAGCTCTTTTCTTTCCCAACGCCTCGGGAGGTGGTCAGCCGTCCATTTGACCTCCCCCCCCCCCCGCACTGTAAGGTGGTTTGACGACGGCACGCAGCAGGTGCATGTGTGTGTTTCAGATTGTTGTACAATGTCTTTGCGGCTGAAGCCAGGCCAACTCTCTGACCTGTGTCCTCTCTTTTGACCACAGATTAAGCAAGAGTAGAGATGTGCGTGTTAAAGGAATGTTTGCACGGTGGTGTCGCCAGGGGGCTGTGTTTTGTGTGTGTGTGTTGTGTGTGTGTGTGTGTGTGTGTGTGCGTGCGTGCGTGCAGATGGCCGGATCAGATGAGCTGGTTTCTTGTCTCCTCTGTCTTCAATTCAGTCAGTCTGCATGGGAGAGCAGCTTTTCACTTGAGTTTTAATTGAGTCAGGGGCTTAAAGCAGACACTAGTTGTTTGGAGTCATGCATCCATCCCAACACCAGAACCACCGTCAGTCCCTCTCAAAAATGTCTGTCTTTCTACATTAAATGCCTCATCTTGACTCGACTTGCTCTTATTTGGTTTTCCAAAAAGATATGGATAGTACAGTTTGCCTGGAACTTTTTTAGTACCATCTAATCTCAAAGTGAAAAGCTGCTTTTAAAACCCTGCAGTCTGATTGGTCACAGAGAATCAAAACCCCATGTTTATAAATAGCAAACTACCTTTTTTTTTTTCAATTTAGACGCATCTTAAAGCGTTGAATTTTACTTTGAACACAACCAGTTAGAACTGGACGATATGAAGAAAATAAAATATCACAATATTTCTGATCAAACACCTCATTATTGATATAGCATGATGGATTATTGGTGCTTTGGTGCTATTATTAGGATAAGTTGGAAGAGGCAACTAATAGAACAGCTTGAATACATACAAAAATCAGATCATTAAATTACATTGCTATCATGCAGCCTTTTAAACCATTAAAAAGGCAACATGACTTTAAGATATCCATAAAAAAGGCGATATTTAGTCTTATATCAATATATTGCGCCTCCCTATCCCCAGTTTCAAATGGTTTTCTGGGTTTCCAACACGACTACCTGTATTTTCTACTGAAGCTCAACATTTCCAAACAAGAAAACCTTTCCTCCATGTCAAGAAACACAAAGACAGGACACCTACCAGCAGGTGAGGATGCTGGCGGAGGTGAAGAGGATGATGGGAACTGGGTAGGAGGCGCAGAGCAGCCCATGGCGGTAGAAAGCCGCCGAGATCTTCTCTCTCAGCCGCTCGCGCAGCGTCATCCTGGGGGACGGGGTCAACTGCCGGCCATCGGGGCGCACGGCGCGGCCGAGGAGGGAGCGCCGCGGGGCATCCAGGGACCTGAGGGGAGAGTTTCACAGGTTATAGATAACACATTATGTAAAACAATGTAAAAACTCACACTGGTTGGTTTGTTTTTCACATGTAAAAGTTGCTGCAATGTATAGGAGTGACTGTTTTGTTTCCGCAAACCCAAATTCAACTTAACATGTACAGCAACCTTTCAACTCAGGGCCCACTTAAGAATCTAAAAAATGTTCGCGCCCCACATTCAACCATAAACAATACGGAGGCTAAATAAAGTTCTGATTGTTCAATTCAGAACATGTGACAAGTTTTTAATCCAGTAGTACAAACCGCTGTCAAGGACTGTAATGACCGTTGCTAAGGAGGATTAAGAAAGGAGGTTCAAATAAAAAATAAAAAATTGTAATAATGAAATGTTTCCACACAAATCATAATGTTTTGCTAATTATTTGGCGGCCCACTTGCATGCCTTCGGCCCACAGGTTGGAAACCGCTGAACTACAGTATTTCACTATTTGTATTTATAGCAATTATTTAAAACGTTTTTTTTTTAACCCAAGAGCAGCTGTGGAATAGTGTAAGCTCTATATGAGGGGACATATCTGTGTTGAAACATGTATTAAAACTCTTATGAAAGAATCTGTTGGGGTGGCAGCAGCTTAGTTTGTAAGGACTTAGCTGAGAAACCAAAGGGTCGCAGGTTCAAGTCCCAAATGGACCAAGTACGTGTGTGGACTGACAGATGGAGAGGTGTCAGATCACATCGCAATGTAATGTAAAAATAACAACAGAGTGAAAATTGAATTTCCTCCTAGAAGAATAAAGTATGTCTTCTTCTTTAGAAACTTTGCTGCATCATATACACTATTTACACTTTTATACTACTACAAAAAGTACTTTTTGGGGGACGTTACATAATCCGCTTTCACACCAAGTACTTTGCCGTACTTAGTTCCCAGCACTTAGTTCCCCCATGGAACTAAAGAGCAGATCGCGTTCACACCGGAATAAGTTCCCTGAGGGAGGATTAGGCAAATGAAGCCGCTGACGTCACTTCTTCTTCTGCTTTGGGTTTACTGGAAGGCCGCAAACAACTTCACGGTGTATACTGCCACCCGAAGTCCCCGGCCGGAAGTCCCCGGAGTTGGGGACTGGCTTCAGTAGAAGCTGCTGGGACTCCCAGCAGCTTCTACTGAAGCCAGTCCCCAAACTACGATTTACTCAGAAGGCTTCAGTAGAAGCTTCTACTGAAGCCTTCCGAGTAAATCGCCAGAACGCCGACACCTCCTCATCACTCCACCGCTCCCATGTTTTTATTTGTGTTGCCATAAGTTATTCTCTCTGCGTTGGTGCGCTGGGCTAATGCTAATGCTAATAATGCTAATGCCAGCAAATACAATGGCGGCTTCACAAAAACGTTTCAGAGTTTTACGGGGCGTGGTTTGCAATTCGCCCAGCCAATCAGAAATTGGAACTTTTTTCTCCCCAGGAAAGTACCACCTCTAGCAGGCACTAAAAATGGGGTAAAAGTTCTCATGAACTAAGTTCTCTTTTTGGTGTGAACGCAAAATCCCAGGAACTATCAGAACTAAAAGGGAAAAGTACTCCGGTGTGAAAGCGACTATTGTTTATCAATTAGGGTATACAATGTAAAAACAGCCATCAGAAAGTATAAGAGTTTTAACGTCCTTTTTTGTCCAATTAAGATATTCAAAAAAGAAATACAGGAACTCAGTGACACGTACATTTTGACTTGTAATCAAGGCTGGACAACTGTCACATTTTCTACCAATCATTTAGGTGCACGTTTTGTGCAGCCTTGGAAGAAACACAGATTTTGATCTCTGGCTGCTTTATAGTTTTCCAAAGTGCCTCCTGAAAGCCCCGTGCTAAGATTTGATCAAAGTTATCTTATCTACCTTATTAAGGGTCAAATCCTGTGAAACATCTCCAAGGACACACATGCTCCTCCAACACACACACACACACACTGTACACGCGCACACACACACACACACACATACATACTGTACGCACTGACACACACACACACACACACACACACACACACAGAGAGAGGGGCCAGCTCCTGAAGTAAAGCTCTGTCCTGGACACCTAATTAGTGACATACTCCAGGTTTTGGCACACATGCTGCTGACTAAAGGCACGGTGTGTTTTTCCTTCAGCCCACACAGGGGTCACATGGCAGACGGCACACACACGGCTCATTCAGCCCAAAAGGTGTGGACACATTCCCCCACAGTAGAAAACATGTATCACCGGCTGAGCAGCTATACTGAAGCAAACATGTCTCATCGATCACACCTGGTAAGACAACAACCACCGTGTGTTCACCTGAAACCAGCCTTTTGTTAGAGGACAGTGGGTAAGATTACACTTTCTCACAGAGGAAAGCACAGAGGGATAAACTAGAAGACAGTAGCTTTAAATTGGGGTCCTTTGAGTATTAAATACAACTGGTTTTTACCACATTAAGATGATCAAAGTAGCTGTTAGTTGCTGCCATAGAAATGCATGCAATTAACCGTGTGTCACTCCCAACGATCGGTCAAAAATTGCAATTATTTTTTGACTGATATTGCAACATGGGATACGATAAGCGAATATATAAAAATGGTTGGAGTGCGACTTTAAGAAGATCTGTACAAAACAAGGATTTTTTTATCTGTATACCCTTTGTAGGCTGGGTTACACAATTTAGCAATTTTGGATATTGAACTAGTCCGATTCTGAATAATGATGCGGCCCGATTCTAGTTCAAGAAAATATTCATCATATAAAAAGGTATTAAAAGTGTTATCGAGGCCACAAAATGCATATTCAGTGCAATTTAATGTGGGTCATTACTAGGCATTACATTACACAAAACAAACATGACTCCTGTGGTTAGGCTTTATCTAATTCTTACCTTTGCTTAAATGAATGTACTGATGTATTAGCACTAAAGAAGCGGTTTGCTGGGACGACTCCAGGATGATGTAAGAGAGGCAACGCTCGGCTGTGCACGTGTGGTTTGTTTGAACATTGGCTTTTAGTGATAGGCTGTGAAGCTCTGCGCTCACATGTTGAAGAGAAGAGAAAATAAACTGAGCTGCAACAGGGCAGAGATGCATTTAGAAAAGCATGCACGTTACTCAGTAAGAGGCTAACGTTCATTCCCATGTTTGTTTGATCAACGGAAACACAAAAAAGCAGTTATTTCTCCAAATAAAAATAATAATGTGAAAGAAGGTTAAAGGTTGTTTCATAAGTCTTTTTTACAAAGACATGTTGATGTAACCAACGACTGAATGAGTTAAAACAGTTTGTTGTTGTTTTTTAAATGAAAATTACTTTCGTTCCCTTGCACTAAACAATAACAACATCGCTATCGGACGATTTTTTTGATTAAAGAATTGTACAATGATGGCTTCCCTTATTCAAAGACGTGTGTAATGATAACAAAGTATGTTTATACCAATAACTATGATTCATTTATACCTCATTGCTTGAATAATATTGACTTGTTTACCAGGCAGACACAAAACTACACATTGTACAGTAACATGGCTTAGTGATTGCCAGCAGCCTAAACACATATGCACCAGAGTCCAAACAAAAAAGAAATATTGGCCTTTTGGCTAGTTCAGCTCACTTCAAACAAAATCAGTTCCTCCAGTTTCCAACATAAACTGGATCTCCTGTTGACTTCTCTGCACAATCTCAGCTGTTTGCTCAGTGCTGCCTATCGTGTGTTTGTAGATACACACCACTGTATTACACATGTTTAACAGGCTGCCCTGGCACACAAGCTGCATGTGTACAGTATCCAATTCTATTGATTATTAAGCCTCTCACATGATGTCAATAAGGAGCATGTATTACTCCCTAACCATGCAGCACAATGCTTCCACACTGTATCCATTATACAAGAGTTCATACCTGCTAACGGGAGACCAGGTTATCTCTCTGGCTCGCAGCCCTTTACGTCCCCTGAAGGCAGCAGCACTGTTTTTTTTTAGCTTAAGCAGTGCCTTGTGGTTAACGTGTTGCTCATTTCTGAATTCAGGCAGAGTGTGCGACTGCTCGTCTCGTCTCCCCGGGAGCAACGGAAACATTTCCTTGGAGGAATTTGCCTCAGGAGACTCTTGATCTGCTGTTATAAATACCATATACAGTAGAAACAGCAACGTCCTCCTGGAAGGCTTGCACAATGGGTTCTGAGAAGGTCAAAACAGGCTTTGAAGTAAAGCCTTTCTGCTCTGCGTTTCTGCAGGAAAACCGACTTTCAAACACGCTTTGGTCCTGTTCACTTTTTCGCAAGGGAAAACTTTGAATAAAAGCCTCCATCTCACAGCTGTTTGTCCCGTTCACTGCGTGCTGTGGGGTTACATGAGCGTAGCAGCGAGACCTGATTTGGCAAAGGCTCAACAGCATCTCCGTCAGTGAACTAATCCGGGATTGAGCCGATCGGAAACTCAACGAGCAGGGCTCAGGGCCCTATATCCACCCCCGCTGCCTCCCTCCTCCTCTAGGCAGTATATATCTACCCTATATGTTGCACGGTTAGATTCTCACATCTCAAAAGCACGACAAGTTTGACAGAGACTCTATAATAATAGCTACAGGCTGAGAGCTGGTTAACTGTTGTTTCAAGCTGGTGAGTTTGTGTTCTCTTCAGCTCTTTGGCAGGCGACCAGTAATTGTTCGGAAATCCTATTCTGTCTGGCCGGATGGAATTTGATTTTGTTGGAATATACCAGCTACTGCAGCTGAGGGAATAAAAATAACACTTCTGCTTAAATTCAACAAACCATGACTAAATCTTCACGACATCTACATGCAAAACTCTCTTAGATAACCCTGTGCTTTTGAGCATACATGCTGAGCAACTAATATTCTAACAAAGAGCAGTCTATGTGCCTCACACGTGGGGAACAAGCAAACAAACGTACAGTCTTTCACATTGCTAGCACAAATTCAGTTAGGGAGATCATGGAGAGTCTCTGCAGCTTAATTAAATGGCTTGTAGATTAAGGTAGATGTATAAAGCCTCATGTGTACAACATTACAGTAGGCACAATGGTGCATTGAGTTCATGGCTTAATTTTGTATGTGAAACTATGAAAGTGTCAAATTAAGATATACTGGAATAGAAGATTCAAGAAAAAAGCAAAAATGACCCTCTTACCTCTTCTGAACACTTGCTAAAACGCCTAACTTGAAGGCATCTCCGGGGCTTACAGATTCAAATGCCATTATCAGCAATTGTCTGTATCTTGCAATGCATTTACATGTCTTCCAAGTGACTTGCTAGAGGCCAAAAACCAGACCAATAGCCAACAACATTCCAGAGAGCTCTAAGCTGTGTCCCATCTCCGTAACTGCATCAAAATCCAATCCTATGGTTGCATAATGTGGAAGAATGCTCCTCTGACCAGTGAGGCCCATGCTGTAAAGACAACCTCGATGTGGATGAACACACTACTGCAACACAGCCTTTTACAACCAGAGCTGATGGCATCAGAGGGAAATGCCCTGTCAATCAGTAACCATAATGCAATTGTAAATGATGTGAACAGGCAGTCTGTTTCTGCGCAAGGATTACTGTATTTCTGATAAATTAGAGAAAGAGGAAGACATTGATGACATACTAAATTTAGATTTCTTTTCTTGTGTGATTCATTATGTCTGCCGGTTATCATGCACGTATAGTTTCAAGAACACTTCACTCCCTAAATGAGTAAAAGTAATCAGTTTTCAACACGTGATACTGTCTTTATCATGTAGATACAGTTAAAATGGTGAAATATCTACCACAAGATAGTGAACACGGAGGTAATGGGGCTGATGCAACATCACTTTCCAGAAACAAGCAAACAGGCTCCTAAAGATAAGGATAGATACGGGGCACAAACAAATCTTATAGTGTAATTGTACTTTCATCATGGGGTAAAGTTAGACAAAATGACAGAAATGGATTTAGCTGAAATTGAGTAATCTATGACAGGGTTATCTTTCAGTACACACCGCATAGGCCTCATTTAAAACACACATTTCTCTTTAGTATCACCTCATTTACCAGGAAAAAGTGAGTCTTCATTCTGTAGTTTGACATGAGACGGTGTAGAAACCACTGAGCTGGCCCATGCAAATAATGAACACACACATATTTCCATAGCTAACACACAAATAAGCCTGGCAGTTTTTCCTGATAAGCAGTGGAGGAAAAAGTATTTATATTCTTTACTTGAGTAAAATTACCAATACCATACAGTAACAATACTCAAATAAACTGCATCGAGAAGGGTACTTAGGTAGAAGTAGTTATGTATGATATGAAAATGTACTGTAAGTATAAGAAGTAAAAGTAGTCGATGCAGAAACATTTTTAAAATCATCACAAATCACATTTACTGTAAGAGGCTAGAACTGTGAAATGAACAAAACAACTCTGGGCATAATTGCTACGAATTAATATTCTGCTAACCAACTCGTGGTTTTAGTTACTTGGATGGTTTAATCTATACCAAATGATCATATTTCCCTAAAAATTGTGTGTCAAAAATCTGAATTTATAAAGTAAATACAGCTCTAAAATAAATGTAGTGTGATAAAACAAAATTGGCTTCCAAAATGTGTTAGCCTAGAGTAGAAGTTTAAAATGAAAATGCTTGGGTAGAGCACACGTACCTCAAATATGTATTAAAGTACAGTACTTGAGTAAATGTACTTAGCTACTTTAGACCACTGCAGATAATGTAGTTTCATAAATTACTTGTATTTCAGGAACCTGCTGCTGAATGTTAAATTGCTAATAGTTAGCTAAGGTTAGTGGAAGCTAATGTTAGCCACCAGTTTCTGGCAGGGTTTCTTATTAGAAAACACTTGTTTTTAGAACTAATATCAGTCGGAATAAAACACCAACACCCTGGGGATTTAAGTAAACATTTATGAAATGATAGAAGTTAAAGACAAAGCCACTAATTGTTACTAAAGTTACCCGAGTGCGTGTGAGTAAGCTAAGCTAACTATTTCGTACATGAACAACAATCAATAACGACAGCATTTAAAGAGACTAACTTCTGCCAATTTATTATTTTGTTTATGTTCACGGCCACAACTTTATATATATATATAGTAACCTAGTATGGCGTTACTTCATATTGTCGTACTCTTTCTGCACCTGCAGACAACTTGTGATGGCACCAAGCTAAATGCTAATATGAATAGCATGCTAGATATGTTAGCTCCTACATGAACCCAGTGTCCCAATCAATATGTATTTTAATAAACTAACAAGAAAAGGTTGCACTTTCACATTGGGTTCATGCATGCCACTGGGTTTTAGTGTTTCCTACGCCTGCTTCACATGGCTGTGAAACCATCAGACTAGTTTGTAGCAAACAACACTGAAAGCAAATTAAGATAGCATGCATTGAAGAGTGACGATGTTAAGTTGTATATGGTTTCAGGATGTCATGGGTTTATATCTGATTCTACAAGACAATAAGGAAGCATGCGAGCCCAGCAAATGCACCCTTGCAGCCACACTCAGAAGCTATAATTATGGAGTGATTAAACAATCCAAAAGCTCCCATGCTTTCAGCAACCACTGAGCTAAATTTCGCAACATGGCTAAAGCTAAAGCACACTTGCCTTGACAAACTTCAGAGATCCTCAAATGTAGATGTTGCCTCGGTGAACTGACGAGCAACCACCGGGTTATTCCTTTGTTTTGGAAATGAGCTTAAGGCTATTTTGGATGCATCGAATAGGATGCTGACATTAAGGAGCAGCGTTTCAAACCCACTGGTTGTCAAATCCGACAGAGACCTCTCCACTCCGAACTCTCACCCTGCAGCAGCGAGGAGAGCAATGCCAGGGCGACCTCTAGTGTTCACACACTGACAATGACAACATTTCCCACTGTTTTATTACATTTTATTCAACCAAAATACATTCAGTGGTATCATGATTCAAGACGGAAACATGGGCTGATTATGAGAGAGTGGGGCACAGATATGCAAAGAGCCCTACCACCTCTCGTACATAGGAGCAAAACACACAGACTTTACAGGTGATTAGCCTCTTTTTGTTGTGGTTTTGGTTTTCTATATGTAGTTTTGAGTCTCCTTGTGGTCATTGTACCTGGCAATCAGACGGTATAGTCATTATGTCTTCTGTTAACTTATTGGAATAGCTGAAAAAAACTATTCTTAGAAATGTGAAGCAATTCAGAGATCTGAGACCAGGCAATCGACTAGCAGGATCACAGTATCCTTCCTAAAGATCGTCTAGGGTCCAGGCTGGGTCGTTGACACTAGCGAGACTCCGAATGTTTGTCAAGTTCACCAAACCCTTAGGTAGCTAAACCCCTGACATCTGGTGTTATTCAAATATAAACAGTCAGTTGTCAGATGTAAAAGAGAAGAATGTCAACGAGGATAGAGAGAGGTGAGACTAGAGGACAGCGCTGGATGTCCCGGGAGCGAAGAAGGAGGCTCCTTTATCGTGGACCTTGTACTGAAAGAGTTTCTTCTGAGTGTACTGCCCATCGCCCTGTCTCCTCCTCCAACACACTTCCACCTGAAAACCAAGAACATTATATATTTATTGCAAGAATTCAACGTTTTTTTGGTAAATTTTACTCTGAAATTAATACTTTAAAAAGGGACAATGTCAAAATAAGTCTGCCCTCCATTAGTACATCCAGGTACTTATTGTGCAATCAATGGTTACATTGGTAATATTTGTAAGCACAAATGCAGATTTGTTTTTAAATCTAGATGTCGAGCTCCTCAAGAAGGGCTGAAATTATTTATCAGATAAGGTTGAGGTAAAACAAACAAATTAGAAGATTGATTAATCATAACATTGTGAAAAAAGTATGCCTGTAAACACCTATGATAAAAAGCAAAAAGAAACAGTTGCGGACTATTCATAGGACCAAACAAGTACTTTGAATATGTCAGCTTTATCTGTTCACAATTTTCCGAGATGTTATATAAACCAAAGATTTAATCAAGGAACTAATTGGCAGATTCATCAACAATGAAAATATTCTTAAATCGCAGCACTACCCTAAACGTCATGCAGTATAGTTGGACAATTAAGGGTTCGAAAATGTGTTCAATCAGACACAGAAAGACCGTACGAACAAACACACACTCACCTGCCCGTGTATGTCCCTGCAGTAGCCGGTTGGGAGACCCTGTACATGAAGAGTGAGGCTGCACTGGTGGGTGAGGCCCTTCATCAGTCTCTCTGAGCCTTCATCATCTCCCTCGTCTTCCTCTCCCTCCCCATCACAGCGAACCAGCATCACCACGTTACCCTGCAGTCACAGACAAAGTTATGGTGATAAGACAGGGTTTTTATTAAAGCTCTTTACTTTATCTTAACTACTTTAAAGCAGGTACATACAAGTTAGATACACTTTATGAAAGCAAAACTGCAAATGCCTTTTAAATCACAACCGGCTACCTCCTGGCTGTGCAGACTGATAACAGTATACGTCCCGTAAAACCTCTAGATGTAGAGCTGCAACAATTAGTCAATATGTTTTCTCTGCGACTGTTTTGATAATTGGTTACTGATGATGCTACATTTACTTGCAAGAACGGCAGAAAATGCTGTTTTTAACCTATCAAATATAGACATGTCCTGCTTTTCTATGTTTGACATCATATTAAACTTAATATTGGTTTTGGACTGACAAAACAAGACATTATTACAATTAAATTTCATCAACAAATTAGTAGAGTATGCTAATATTGTCTTGTCTTATATTGTGTTAACTGTACTTCTATCGTTAACTCTACGTGGCTCTACAAATTGACCCCTGGGGACAAAGTGTTTCAAATGAATAGAGCACCTTGGACTTTGAAAAACTCCATTAATCAATTAATATTGAAAATAATTGTTAGTTGCAACCTTAAAATAATGCTTTGACAGAAGATCCTACCTGCAGCTGGGAGCAGACGATGGCCCTGCAGTAGTGGCTGAAGTCCAGCACGGCTCCAGCGCTCACCCCCAGACTCAGCAGCACACTGAGGTCGTCCACCAGCAGCACCGGGGGCCCCCACTCCTCTGACCCATCCCCCCCCTCCTCACCATTACTGCTCACAGCGGAGCGCACAAACTCATAGAGATTCTTCAGGCCGACAGAAGGATCCCTGCAGACAGCAGATATGGCAAAAGTACACACATCCTTTACTCAAGTAGAAGTACAGATACTCATGTTTAAAAATACTCTGGTAAAAGTAGAAGTACTGACTAAACTTCTTTACTCAAGTAAAAGTAAAGAAGTATGGGCTTTGAAATGTACTTAAGTAAAAAGTACCCATAACTAGCAGCTGTTTTAAAGAGTACCTGACCTCCCTTTATATTAATAGAACAATAATGTCATTGTTAGCTAATGAATGTTTCCATGCTGAACAACGGCAACATGACAACGTTTTCATTGGTCCCTCTTCTTTAGAGAAGACCAGGAAATGATGGATACACGGATCGTGTTCAAATCAATAGGCACGCAATGACTCTAAATAATAATGATCACGCCACCAAACACACATTCAAACTAAAGGAACCAGCCTGTTTGGAAAATGAGAGAAGTAGAAAGTACAGGTATTTGTGTTCAACATGTAAGAAGTAGAAAGTACAGGTATTAGTGTTCAACATGTAAGAAGTAGAAAGTTCAGGTATTTGGGTTCAAAATGTAAGAAGTAGAAAGTACAGGTATTTGGGTTCAACATGTAAGAAGTAGAAAGTACAGGTATTTGGGTTCAAAATGTAAGAAGTAGAAAGTACAGGTATTTGTGTTCAACATGTAAGAAGTAGAAAGTACAGGTATTTGTGTTCAAAATGTAAGAAGTAGAAAGTACAGGTATTTGTGTTCAACATGTGAGAAGTAGAAAGTACAGGTATTTGTGTTCAAAATGTAAGAAGTAGAAAGTACAGGTATTTGTGTTCAAAATGTAAGAAGTAGAAAGTACAGGTATTTGTGTTCAAAATGTAAGAAGTCAAAGTAAAAAGTCGTCAGAAAAAGAAGTAGTGGAGTAAAGTACTGATACCAGAAAAATGTACTTAAGTACAGTAACGAAGTATTTGTACTCCACTACTTCCCACCTCTGGCAGACAGAGGAATGAGAGAGATGGAGAGAGAGGCAACAAACTGTGGAAAAACATGAATAGTGATTATTTTTGTTTGTACCTGAGGAAGTCCATGGCCTGACTTCCTGTGTCGTTTTCTTGAGGAATCAAAACAGACAGCGACTCTTTCTGTCCCTCCAGGAAAACCAGCTGACCTTTTTCCTTCGCTTGTGTTAGGCTAACACCCTGAGAACACATAATTCACACACAGATACACACACAATGAATGTCCTCACTTTAAGATAGCAATATTAAAAGGTCAAAATATGTAAGCTCCTTTATCAACCAAGTGAAGCCTAATTCAATATGAATAAAAAAAACCTTTCTTGTGCAGCAAGGAAAGATCTAACATTACAGATACCCGTAGATCCAGTGAGGGCATACCTACAATTAAAACCCAAAAGATAAAAGCGAAGTAGCATTTGACTAAACATATGATGGGAGACAAATAGTTGTATGGTTTTATCCAGTGCTAATTTGGGGTTCAATAATGGAGGAATCCTTGAAGTATGACTTTTTTTTTGTGTTATGCTCTGTTGTGTGTAGGCCCAAAGAAGAGTAGCTGCCACTAAGGAATTCAAATAAAGAATAAATGATCTTTGAACAGTGGAAATGTTCGGTGTGAATACAGCAGAAGGATGATAATAACACTGAAGACTCACCAGTCTCTGACTGATGGCACTGTAATGATTGAAGGACTGCACCAGACCCACAAAACACACTTTGCAGCGTGCTGAAATAAAACAGAGACATCAGTTTCCCACATAAAAATGAATCTTATTTTGATAATACTTTACAATGCCAGGTGCAAACTCACCTCGTAGGTACAAAGAGAGGAAGTGGTGAATGAGGAAAGAGGCATCACTCTGTCTGTCTGACAGCAACACAAATTCTCCCTGTAGAAAAGGACAACCACACTTTTGTATATTTACTTCTTAAATATATATGTAAACATGTATTACACAGCAGTATTCATGTGTTAATAAGTCCACTTTTCAAATAAATTCAGTCAATTAAAGTTGAAAACATGTTCTAAGAAATCTTAGCTGATAAAAAAAGCCAAATAACTTATTTGCATAACAAGCTTGAAATATACCCTTCGTATTTCCCTTAAATATATTAAAAGCAAGCTGAGTCTTCTGTTTTTGAATGAGCTGTAAACACATTTATGTTACAAAATAAATGAAACCCTGTGATGTAGGCTTTTTGTTTTCTTGAAGCATATTCAAATGTCAAGCATAATTGATCTAGTTTAGATTCTAGACTCAAGACAAACTTGCACATAGTAATGTTAGCACGTATAACAGCGTGTTACAACTTAACAGAGATAACGGTCATGTGCATATTAACATGACAGATCAATTAAAAAGGTTGTGTGGTCCTTACCTGTGTGAAGCTGTCAGGAGTTGTGTTCAAGATACTGTTTAGTTCTGTATACATGGCTAACTGTGTGTACAAGCTAACCTAACAAGAATAATAGAAACTAAAGGCTTTGTAAGCTAAATAAAACGTTACAACACAGGAGATAGCAGGAATTAATTTAAAATGTGTCTTGTAAACCCATAGTTTGAAACGTCACGTGAAAGATGGTATTAATCCTAAATTAGACTGATTTTCTCTCAGAAAGCAGCTGTGCTAACGTCAAGTAGCATGCTGCTAACAAAGATTATTATAAACAAAAGAAGAGGTATCACTCTGCAGCTGAAAAGAAAGCAAAAGTGATTTAATTAAGTGTTCCTTGTGTTTACGAATTTAACACTACTTTACAAATGTTACGTATATTTATGTATATGTCACAATTGTACAAAGCTTTGGCAATACTGTATGTCATCATCGTCATGCTAATAAAGCTATTTGAATTTAATTGAAACGCGTTTTGGACCTCAGAAAAGCCACTAATAGCGTCTTTACCGCTGCATGAATTTATTACTTTATATTATATTTTCGCAAGTGTTATTCATTGTATTCTTTAGGAAAACAACCGTTCAAGTTTTAAGGCTGAATTGTAAGTTTTCACTAGTGTTTATTAGAGGGAAAAACAGCCACTTCAGGTCTGTGAGAGAATGGTCTCCATGGTGATAGCTTTGGTCTTCTGTCTCAGTAGACGATCTTTGTTTTGCAAATGGCGACTTCTTCGTGTGTCCATGTTAAAACTAACACACCGCCCCCTGTTGGTAGTACCGTGTGAATGACATTATAATAGCGATAGTTGTGGTGCTTTTTTCTGGATATTTGGCACCAAAACATGACTCAAAAGCAGTGGTTGTAAGTAAATAAATAAAAGGTTGTCGAGTGCTTCATAGCTATAATTCTGATCTGGTTTGCACTTGTACTTTATCTCAGTATTTCCATGTTCTGCTTCTTTTTACTCCACTGCATCTCGGTTTATAAATAATGCATTTGATAAAAAATGACATTATAACATAAATGAGACTGTTATCATCCCAAGGAGGAAAATTACAAGCGATATGGCAATATAAATAAATATACAGTAGGCCACATCAAGCTGGTATACATTTGTAAAAATAGTCAATCAATGGTGTGTGATCAATGATCATAATACAATAATACAATACATGTTCTCATTAGATTTTCTACAATTTAAGTATTAACTATTTAAAACAGGACAATCAGCATGTGGTGTTCTGCAGATTTAATTATTCTTTAATCATATATTAATTTAAATGTGCATGTGTCTACAACTATTTAATCTGGATTAATAAAGATATATATATGCCTAACAGTGTATGAGATTAATCTGCCAATAGAGATTTGCTTTCAGTTTGCATTTAAAAATGTTGCAAAGGAATAATTACCGGAGGATATAGTTTCAACCCATAACTCCCGTAATTACAGACCCAGTACAGTCACTTCACAACTCTTCTTCTTATGTTTAGAAATATATGGTTTTATTATATGGTATCAGCATCAAGCATCAAGTCATAGAGTATAAGAAGCCCTTAATCAGGAAATACTGAATAACCTCACACCTGAGGTTTTGTACCTGATTCTTTGGACATGTCTTTCCTTTTTTATTGTTACAATGCACACACATCAGTGACAAAAACATCAGGGTTCATCACATACACATAATTGTAATTATTTTTGTTGGTCTATTTTCAAAGAACAATGTATTCCAGCACTCACGAGTCAATGGCACCCTGACACAAGGACAATAAAGCTATAATATTATATATCAATGTGACCATGGCTATTATTACACAATTCTGCAGCTGCCCATAGCTTCCCGGAGCTTTAACCTGAGTTTTAACTCATTGTTGAACTTTCCCAAGGCAACTTTAATGTCTTGGTTTCGTTTCACCACTCTTATAGTTATTGGTCGCACCTTGCTTAGTTTTAACCCTTATGTTGTGTTGGGGTCTCCCGTGACCCGTTTCAAGTTAAAATTATATAATAACTACGCTCTAGTTTTTTGTATCGGAACAAGGCTTCATGATATCCTCCACAACAGCTATATAAACACTACAAAACAGATTTTGACAATTTTAGCCAAGTCAGAAAGTCTCTAAAAAAAAGTGTATAATTTGGTGTTGGGGTCTGGGGAGACCCAGCAGAATTGTTGTGGGTGACTCGGGGTCAAATTTGGCCCAATCAAGATTCATCTTTGACTTTAGACACCCCTCCCCCACCCCCTTCATCCACTGTAACAATAATTTCAAACTTTTTGGGGGGAAATTGTATTCTAATATTAGTCTATTATAGTCAGATAACGTAATGATCCACTGTCTTCACTATAGGAAATATAATGAGTGAATTTAATCACATGTTTTACTTAAATATGTGGTGGAATGTTTTTTGGAACCATAAAATACAATTACAACAGGATTGTACAGTTATGAATGCATTATAAGTTAGTTATGATGTAGTTAAAACAATATTGGATGATAGTAATTATTTCTGAGTGTTTTGGACTGAGATAAATCATGGGTCAAAATTGACCCGGGAACAACATGAACGGTAACAGCTTTCAAACACAACACAAGGGTTAATTAATAATTCTTAAAAAACTAAATGTACACTTCCTGCTTAGCACCAAACTACGTGCAGTTAGCTCCTATCTGGTGGAAAAAGTGGAGCATGGATTGCTATTTTATCATCCAAGCCTTAAAAATGTATGTGAGAAAAAGATGTATGGCTCTGCGTTGAAAAGAAAAGCAGAAAACCTGCAGAAATTGTATCTTTTTTTTTTCCCAAGTATGATTAATGTCAAGGTTTCTCATGTAAGTCATCCATCTTATACTGGTGGTTCATGCCGTACAGCAGGATGAAACACTTTCAAGTAAAATGGGAGATAAAGCATGAGCCACTGATCATGTTTTGAATCAGCAGATGGCAGTGTGTAGCTCTCCAGTAGCTCAATATCAAACACATCGAGAATGCAATGAATCTGCGTTTAAGTAGAGGGGAGGCGTGTGGTGCAGTGGGTTGTGCGTTGGTGTTCGGATCAAACCCCACTGCAGTCAGCATGTCGTTGTGTCCCTGGGCAAGACACTTCACCCCAAATTGTTGTTGTGGGGATTGCCCACAGTATTGAGTATGTAAGTCGCTTTGGATAAAAGCGTCTAACAAGTGACATGTAATGTAATGTAATGTAATGAAAAAGGTCTCTTAAATATCTCAGACAGCAGTAGCCTCCTTGAGCTTCTGCACTGCAATTCAGCACATATATTTGAGTAATTACACCTGATTGAATCCTTTTGTCACACCAGAAGATGGTTTATTGTGTATTTTTATTGGCTTTTGGATGATCACTTATGTCGAATAATTAGTTTTATACCAATTTTTGAAAATATCCCTATCCAAAATGACAAATTAACGCCTCTTTAATAGTTTCCATTTTGTTTTTTTGGCCACTAGGGGGCAGCAGATTGAGCTTTAAACATGACACTAACATATTATCACCTTACAAAGTTCTGAGGGTGCGTGAGAAAACTTGTACACACGCATATAAATAAATACATGCTTGTGTTTCTGTCCAAGTTAAGGTTATATGCAGCATTTATGGTTAGACACTCCTGTGTCTAAGTGTTCCTGAGAAATACTGTCACAATACAGTACGGTATACATCTCTGGATAAGTAAATAATCAATATATTAGGGGGGAAAAGGGCAAAAGCATTATGTTCTTATTCTAAAAATCCCACAACGGTAGTTTACATTTCTGAAAACCAGCTTAATGACAGTGTTTAAGTCATTGTGCAGTAGTACACACAGATATATGAACACACACTAAAAGGTAAAACAAAAATAAAATATACACACCAAGATGCATTCAAACCCGCAACACAACAATGCCCTCATAGCGCATCTCAGTCCGAACATTAATTAATGTATAGGAATGCAGAATAGTTTTAGCTGCCAGATGAAGCCATTGGTTGTCTCCAATAAAATGCATGCTTGACACTTTGAATACCTCTAGTCCTGCACCATTCACCAGGTGAATCCGGTTTTAAACTGACATACAGTTGACGAGATCCCAAAAACAAAAACTCCTAACATTTAAATAAGAGTTCTGGTTAACACGAACAAAATGCAACATACACGTTCACATGATTAATGTCAAGATTACAGCCAGGACAACGAGATATGAGAAACAGTTCCTCCAGCCTGCTCTGGGAAAATTATGTTCTCAAACAAAGAAAGAGCATTGTCAAATACGCTTTGAGGTAAATGTATTTTGTCCTGGATAACGTTTGTTTTTGACTCTTCACAAATGTTATGATCAGAGTCTGCAGAGCGGTGGGTTGTGGAGGAGGGATGGTTTATGCAAATGATGACTTGAAGAAAACATCTGTTTGCGTCTTGTCTCAAACCAAAACTCAGCAATAACTTTGAATGCATGTCCATCACTTCAATAAAGCATCAAACATACACATTTTGAGCAAAAACGTGATATTTTACGAAACAAAACCACAACGTTTGGATGCCTAAACATAACCGCTGAGTCTGTTGCATCTTATTTTTGTTCTGCATCCGTTTACAATGTTAACCATGTGTTTAAGAACAGTGACCGTAATCCAGGACAAAATACATTTCCATCGAAAAACCTAATTGAGAATGCAGTTTAATGGTTGGTGAATGTACTTTTCTAGGAGACAGGGTTGGTTTAAAGGTCACCTATCATGCAAAATCCACTTTTTAATGTCCTTTCTACATCAACATGTGTCCCCTCTGTGGAAAGAGACTCTGAAAGTTTCAGGAAAAAAGATTCTCTCTCTTTTTGTCCTGATCCATTTATATAAAAACCTGTCTGAAAATGAGCTGATCAGATTTTGGCCACTTTATGATGTCATAACGATTTGTTGGCTTGTGTAACTATTAGCCAATCACCAACCAAGGTAACCCCCCCCCCCCCCCCCCCCCCCCCCCCACCTTATCACCTGAATCTCCTCCTAGAGCACCAATGAGTTCTTTGTAACCAAATATCTCTCAGAGGGGCGTGGGGAGGGGCTCCTTATTTTCATCTAAAGTAACAGACAGAGAATCAGCACTTTTGAAACAGGGCTGAAACAGAGGGGATTATGTGATGCTGCAATGATCTGTTTGGTGTTTCAGCCAATCAGAGACAGGTTCTGTATATATCTGAGACCTATAATATATTGATGAAAAACAGTATAATAGGGGACCTTT